CTTTTTTGGTGACGGCTTGGGAAGGAGTTGAAATTTTTTTTCTCCCTTTCACTCCCCCATTCCGGACTTTAGATTTTCTCCGGGCGTTACAAAAATTAATTCCCTCTTTCGGGTCTCTTTCTGCGGCGATTAAAATGTGCTGGAAGCCGCCGTGCTGCGGGCAGATCGCTCTGTGGGAGCATAATAGAGCGCAGGCAATCGGATGGTTTCGTTGTACGAAACATCCACGTTCTTCATCACCTGCAGACGCTGATGAAGCAACTGCGAACAGAGCGTAGCCAGTCGCTGAAGGATGTCGTTAGAAGGGAGAAGCCGATCTCGGTGAGTCAAAACCTGTACATCAACACGCTCGACAGCGACTACAGCGTTTACAATCGCATTGACAAATCCAAAATTCTCGTTGGTCGATGCGATAAACGAGTTCAACGCGATGTGAACGCATCTATTCATGAATTCGCCTCGTAACAGCCCACCTGATTTGAAGCTTGGAGGGAGAATCTGAGAGATCGCTGTAAGCAGACAATCGGGAGAGCAACGGGAGCAAGTAGCTAGGCGATCAATCCACCAACAACCGATTCGTACACTAAAGAATACTCGGGAGTCAACTGATAAATCGGCGATTGGTCCGGAGACGAAACAGAAAAGCGAGACGACTGATACAGCATCAAAAACTTCCGTTGTTGCTACGTGGAAAGACTGGAACAAAGTCTTACAAGAATGATCGCATTCAATTCCGTCTTGATTAGATTTTGCAGCTTCTCGTTCTTTAGGAACCAGAACACCATCTAACATTCAAAACACATGGAATTCAATACCAAATAAGAAGCGTATTTTGTGGGAAGGAGCTTCTCTCGGATCAAAACGGACAGCTTCGAAACGACTCGTTTCGCCAAATCAATGTCTTTGATTTCTTCCAGCGTTTTTCCGATCGAATAGAATCGTTCGGGTGTGAAATACGGCGAGTAACACTTGATCGCAGCGCATTTCATCAGGGAAACGAACGCTTTGTAACGAACAAGTTTACTCAACTCCGAATCGAGTCTGCTTTATGAGAGAAAACAGAGCAAATACTCAAACGAAGGCAGTTCGAGCGTCAGCAGTTTGTTGAGGAAATCAAGCACGCGCGTGGATGTCTCGCCCTCCATCTACGACTCGAAATCCATCGAAACCGAATACTTTTAAAGCAGCTAAATAGTTTCCCAGGAACGAAACGAATAGAGTACAAATTTCATCCGATTTCATAACTGAAGACTTCGCTTCCGCCTCGTATTCTGTGATGATTCGATTCACCAAATCTCGAATTCCGATGTTATTCGGATAGCTTTGGTCCACTTTCAGCAAGCAATCTGCTCAGCACAAAACAAGCAAGTCCTACTCACTGCACTCATCTGGATTTTCAAAATGGAAGCGTTTGTCTGGTAGGGAACATGCGAGAAAAACTCCTCGATCCACTCGTTGTATTTGATTCGGATCGACTGGTTCACATCTTCGTCACTCGAGGACACAAATCGACAGAAATAGCTGAGCAGAACAACCGCGTGCTTCACTTCGCAGAAGTCAAACTTCCCGATCGAGTCGATCAGAACGTCGAAGAGAGGAAGCAGCTCGGAGGTGTACGCGGGATTCCATTCGGCAGTGGGATCGTTATTCAGCAATGCATAGGGGTAGGATTCAAAGGACTTGGACGAAGTGGCGATCAGTTTCAGCTACAAATCTGATCTGTTGTTCGTAAATTCTACCAGACGATGACGCATCGCATGACCATTCTTTTTCCCATTCACATCCTCCAACGAATCGGGCTTGGATTCCACGAGCGCTGTGAGCGAGTGGTGCAGCAGACCGAACAATCCGAGCTGCACATCGCTGCACATAAACACACCGCCACTCTCTTCCGCGATGACTTGCAACAGATCAAACGCGGAACTCCGGTAATTGGGATGATCGTTCACCATTTTCAGATACATGAAAACCAACTCCGAGGAACAGAATCGACAGTAGAAGCGCGGAAACACCGCTTTGAACTGCGAGCGAAGCTTCGTTCCCTCGGGCTGCTCTTTCAGAATCGCCTTCAGACCGTCAGCTGCTTCTTTCAGACTTTCCGTCTGCGAGATCGGGCTGCTGATCGTGTCAAGCCAGTTCATCACTTGATTGGCTCGCTCCTGATCGAACGGCTCTACAAGATCCAGAGAGGGCGCAGAGAGGTTGTAGAGCGTGTAGAGACAGTTGTTCGTCGTTGTGTACACAGGCGCGGTTCTTGATCCTTGGTTGATGCTCAACGCGCGCGAGAGCTGGATGAGAAGCTTGCTCACAGCGTCGTCCTGCGAGTCAATGAATCCATTCACACTCACTTCGATCGGCCGGCGATCTCTAGCGTACTTCACCAATTGTTGGAGCGATTTCTGCAATCTACAATCAACCCTTCGCATCGGAATACGCACTTCTTCCAGTCCGAAATGTACGTTCGAAGCAGCGCGTTCATCGTGGAGACCGAATCCTCCAACTCCAAAAAATCGTTCGATTTCTGCAATTGTTCATAGAACCACAGATACGCCAAGGCCACCGCCTCATCCGAATTGCATTCATCGATCAGGCGATCGTTCAACAGTTCGCAGCATCGATTTCTTGTTTCGTCGTTGGAAACACCGTAGCACTGGAGAAAAACGCCGCACATCCCGCCTAATTTCGTGGTAAGAGCGCGCGTTGGCCGTTTGGTATTGTTCCAGAACGATCGGAGATGGAAATTGAGAGTCTACATTGAACACAAGTTTACTTGTCGCATACGTTGATACAAGCTGAAATCGCCCATCGCCGCACTTCGACTCGCTTGTCGATTGTTCGTTCGATGAGACAACGAATCGAATCGGTGTCCACTTCGTCCAAATGATTTGCGAGAATAAAGTAAAAGGTGTTGACGATAACTTTGCGGACTTCCCACTGCGAATCTTTGATTCGCTCTTTGAGATAAGGCAGCATTCTCTCCAAAGCAGAAGGCTGCGATTCGATGATAGAATTTGCAGCCTAGAGATGACTCGTTTGGAGAAAGGAGTCCGACTTCAGAGATGGAGAGTCGAATGGCTGGGGACTTATCGTGAAACCGATTGAGATACTCCTCGAAAGGAGCGGCACTTCTACAGGGTAAGGAAGCAGTACATGGCTAACTGATAGAGGAAATCGTGTCCTTTGGTGCTAAAAATGGAATTAAGACATTGAACCGTTTCCAAACGGACCGATTCATCCATACTCAATTTGCTGGTAATCAATGGAAGAAGCAATTCGATGTATTCGTACGAAATCGAGTTGAGTTTTATCAGAATCGGATTGATCTATTCCTCACTTCGCACATCCAACAAAACATGGTCACACACTTCATAGTCATCTGTAGAAACAGAGCTCCCAACCATGATATCCGTGATGAGCTTTTGAACAGAAGGAGCCAATTTCGCCTTTTTTACACTAAGCAGATCGGTTAGGAGCTGAATATGCGCGGGGACTGGATTCTCGTCTTCACAAATCGTATTACTCAAGATAATGTCAAGGAGAGAGTAAGGAATCTTCCTATACAGATCGATTACAGCAATCATGATCTGAATGACAATGCCTCGAATTCGTTCGAGTTCGGTTTGCAATTCTTCTTCAGTGAACTGCGTGTCTTCGCTCGTGGAATCACTCTTCTTTGATTTAGAGGGACGCTTGGATGGAGTGGGAAGACCCGAATATGCATCCACGATGTGGATAATGGTTTGAAAGAGAGTGAGGGGCACATCATTGTCTTCACCACCAAAGGAGACAGCAATCTTGAGGAGGGCCGTTTGATAGATTTTCTCCAACATTTCAAAAGATCGGCGATAATTGTCAGTTTTTGAAGGACTTTCCAAGGTCTTGAGATTTTGGAGAATCAGATTCCAAATATCCTTGCTCGTTGAATCCGACAACTCTGCTTCATCGACAAATCGACACATTTCCACGAGGCAATATCCGACTAATCGCGTTATCTCTCGATTTTGTATATGGAGCATCTGTTCACTCGATAACTTCGAGAGGGCAGAGTCAAATCCATCAAATTCCGCTCGATCATTCGTTTTTCGTAATTCTTGATACATCGACTCTAGCTCTTTTATTAATTTCTGTCCCTTAAGCTGTAGTAACTGGTCATATTTACCGCTTGCCTTTTTCGACTTTTTAGATTTTGCCGGCATAATTCCTTGTAACTCTGATATAATATCCAGAATTCAGGTACGAAATAGGCACTGAAACAAAGCAAATAATTTCGAAACTGTTTGTGGATAAATAGCCGCGAAACCTCAAGGTGAAGAAACCCGCCATTTTCAACAAACAGAAGCAAAATAAAAAACACTTTACACTCTTCTCCGTTTAGGATTTAGAAATCCTCCACGACTTGCTGCCGTCTCTCCCATCTGTCTCCGACGAATGATCGCCAGCAATTCCTCACGAGCAGACCCGGGCGGGAAGTTTGACATATCATAGTACTTGGGAGCCAAGTCGATCAGCCACTCTCCCTCCACAGCCGTAATGGTCTGAATGAAGTTCTTAGAAGTCATCTTGACTGTGTGGAAGATGACCCATTTCGGCTTATTAATCACTTCGGATGAGGGATGAATGTCCACTTCCTAAGAGTTATCAGCGCAGCACGGTCACACCTGGTTGTCCTTGATTGTGGTGTACGATCCAGTCTTTTCGCGATGCGCCACCTGCATAAAGAACCCCGCGCAGAGACATTTCCGAATGTTCGTCGCGTACGAGGGGTCATCGAAGTGGTTTCCGTTCGTCACGTCGATTTTCAGCTTGCTCAAGATCCCTTCCAGCTGGTTTCGCACATTGATCGCATTGGCGATGTTGCGAGGGTTGATGTAATGCTCCTTGCACCACTGCTCGCGATCCTTCTCTTCCTCCTGCACATACGCATCGTACACTCGAAGCAACGCGATGTGGTCGCTGTCGGGATGAGAAAACGAAGACCGCACAGCGTCCGCGTCTTCCTCTTCGTCTTTGGGACGTAAAAAGAAGGGAGGGATGGAGAGCATGGCCGTGATCGTCAGCATTTCAGGAACACATCCATACTCCTTCGAACTCAGAAGGGCTTTCGATAGCTGAGGGTCCAACGGAAGCTCCGCCATTTCATTTCCCAACTCCGTTAACTCCCCTTCATCGTCCAATGCGCCCAGATAATTCAGATTCTCCAGAGCACGCATCATCGTTTCGGGTGCTGGCGGATCCATAAAGTCAAACCGAACCAGATTTTCGATCCCGAGCTTTTTCATTGTGAGAATCACAGAGCTGATATCGCTTCGCATGATTTCTGGGAACGTTTGTTCCTATCCTATGAACCCGATTGATCGTATAGTACCAATAACTGCGTCTTAAACGATTCTTCGGTATACAAATGAAAGCATTTCCCTGGACGCGTTCGGCCTGCGCGACCCGCACGCTGACGAGCCGATGCTTTGCTGATCGGAGTTACGAGCAACGATGAAATTCGGGTACGGGGATCATAGACGTTTTGCTTGCTGAATCCTGGATCGATCACATACACAACCCCGTTGATTGTGATCGAAGTCTCCGCGATATTCGTCGCAATCACCACTTTCCGGCTTCCTTCCGGCGTGGGCTCAAACACAAGCTGCTGTTGCTGGGGAGGAAGCGAGGAGAATAAGGGGAGAACCCAGAGCTTTCCCTTATCTTCTGGAATGTTCTGCGCCTCTTCTTCGAGATCTCTGCACGTGTCCATGATCTCCTTTTCTCCGGTGAGGAAGACCAGAATGTCGCCAGGAGCTTCGTTGAGATGGATCTACTTGTTGTGTGGGAGGTCGAACGGCGTACCTTGAGAACCAAAGCCTTCGCAGCCTCCACATAATTGTCCTGCGCTTCGTTGGTAAAGAAAGATTCCACAGGGAAGGTTCGGCCAGGGACAGAGAAAAGAGGAGCATTGTTGAAGTATTTCTATGTGTTAGTCATTGCATTGCATTGCATTGCATACCTGGAATCGACCCGCATCCAGAGTTGCACTCATTACGATTAGTTTCAAATCAGGACGCTTCGGTAATAGTTCTTTCAGTAAACCCATCATTATATCCGTCGCTAATGTTCGTTCGTGAGCTTCATCCAACAAAATTATAGAATAACGAGACAATAAAGGATCGTTCATTGCTTCTCGTTCTAACATACCGTCTGTCATATATTTCAACTTTGTTCGTTCACTCGTATAGTCTTCAAATCGAATCGTGTAACCAACCTCCTCCCCAAATTCAACGTCCATTTCTTCGGAAACACGTTTGGCAACAGTCAAAGCAGCTACACGACGAGGTTGAGTACAGCAAATCATTTTATTCGAATCAGGATTTTTAGACAAATAGTGAAGCGTTAAAGCCTACTTCATTCAAAACACTCGAAAACTACTTACTTGAGGAATTTGGGTTGTTTTGCCCGATCCTGTTTCTCCCTCCACAATAATTACTTGATTGGAATCAACGGCTTGTTCGAGTGTATCAAGAAACTCGAAAACGGGTAATTTCTTTCTCCCTTCCAATATTTTGTAATAATTATCCGAGAAGGGCTTTCCAGTGAGCGGGTTTTGCTTCGACTGAGTAATAATTTTCACAGCATTCGTTTCTCTATTTAGCGCACGCAAATCGATCGCGGGCCTCTGCGTTCTGTGCATTTAGAGGAATCTGCCTTGCTTAGAAAATTATTAGTCGTTTGTTTTTTATAAACTATTTCGCTATTTTGAAATGCCTCAAACTGAATACGTCGACTATTATTCGCTTCTTGGAGTGGAAGTAGAAAGTGACGTAAAGACAATTCGAAGGGCATTTCAAAAGGCTGCTCTGAAATACCATCCAGATAAGACCAAGGGAGATAAGAAATTAGGTACAACCATTTTGAAGTGATTCATAGCGTAGCTGAGTTGTACCAGTTAATTAGCGAAGCTCGAGATGTTCTTATGGATGAACAGAAGAGAGAAGCCTATAATAAGAAGCATAAGGCTATGCTAGCGAGGAAAAGCAGAAGAGAGAACATGGACAAGCGGCAGCGTGAGCTAACGGAAAGTTTGTTGGCCAGAGAGGAAGCTGGTAGTTCTAAACGCGTAATTTTACTTGTAGCAAAAAGAAGACGAAATGGAGAGATGACGGAAAAAGAACGACTCATCTATCGGATTCGACAGGTGAAACTAGAGGACGAGAAGACGATTGAGCAAATGTTACATGAACAGTCTATTCCTGTTGTTTCGCAAGGTACTGCCTAGCCTTCCTTGTATAATTCCTAGTTCGTCCATTGGATTATTCGAAAACCCTGATTCGAGTTTGATTGTTTTTGCTCGCTCATTTTCTAGCCTGCTAACTATGGAGAGAAGACCATGGAGCGATTGATCCAAGCTGCATCTGCGCCTCGTAGTGTATTATAGTTTCCTTTTCCCTTTATCTTTTTTTCTGTGGAATGTTTGTTTTATCGAAATTGAGTTTGTGTTGCGGCCGATTTGGGGGATACAAAGCCGCAGTTCCATTTCTCATTCGAGCCTTGTCGCAAACTCCCAGTTCTGAATCGACCCCTACGATTGTATCGTTTCTTCATTCCGTTTTCTGTGACAACCTATCGTCGGAGACGTTGGAAGGAGATCTTTCTCTATCCTCGCTTCAGCAGCAGCTCGTTGAGAAACAGATTATTACGGAAAGTGATAGAGAGCAAGTATGGATGTGTATGGAATAGTAATGAAGATGAGTCAAGTGATGAGTGAGTTTGATAAGCTTAAAACTTCTGGTTCGGATCTTGCAACGATTCTACAGCATATCAGGGAAAACGAGTTCTTTTCTACTTTCTGCAATGCCTCCAAGCGGTCGGTGACTATTGCTGACTATTGTACATACTACATGCTCTATCCCTATATGGTATATTTTTCTCTCTTTTCTTGCCATCCAGGCAACATTATCACCTTCCAATGGGAACGACCCCTTAGCGAGCTACTACATGCGAATGCAGAATTTGAAGAACATCCGATCGAGTGCCTTCGCTCCTCCGATTCTTCAGCTCAAACAAAAGAAACAGAGTTAGAAAACACCCGTTCTTCGATTGTAGAATCATCCAGTCCTGCTGCTACTCCTGCTGCGGCTGCTCCGCTCACACCTGAAGAGTGCTTGTCGCAGCTGGACATTCGTGTAGGTCGCCTCGTAAAGGTTTGGAATCATCCCGACAGCGATAAGTTGCTCTGCGAGCAAGTGGATGTTGGAGAAGGAGTTCCGCGCAGTATTGGATCGGGTATCCGCGCGTTCCATTCGGCAGAGGAGATTCAAGGTCGTTTAGTGTGTGTGATGTGCAATTTGAAGCCAAAGAAGCTGGCTGGATATCCGTCGAACGGAATGCTGCTCTGTGCCTCCGTGAAAGACCACTCGAAAGGTGCGCTGATAGATCCCCCCGAGGGTAGTGAAGTGGGAGAGCGCGTCTGCTTCGCAGGGATTTCAGGGAATGCGGCAGCGCCGAGCCAGGTACACAAGAAGAAAATGCTGGAGACTGTGCTTCCGGTATGTGTTTCTTGTGGATTGGGAACGTAGTACCTCCATACGAACAACGAAGGCGTTTGCTGTTTTAAAGAGATCCCTTTTTCCACATCGCGGGGAGTGTGTACCTGCAAGAGCTTTCCAAACGAATCGGTGTCGTGAATTGTTTGTTGAAAAACAGCCTATCTCCGTTTCTGCATGGAGGTGAGGGCAAAAGAGAGAATAATTAGCATAAAAATGTTTAAAGACATATTACCGATTCTACCGTGAAACAAACAAAAATCGCGGTTATAAGGTAATATTGATCTTTAGTTTAACCACAAAAAATTCTAATGTCTGATTATAGTATGTGATGTTTTGTGCAACTTTGTTTGTTTGAGCAGTGTGTAACCTTGTATAGGAAAGTCGCCTGAGGTTGACAATAATGTTGATCTTGAATCTAACTGGGATAAGGAAGTGGAGAGCTTCGATGATTTGAATCTGAACATGGACCTCCTCCGTGGTATTTATTCTTATGGTTTTGAGAAACCCTCTGTAATTCAGCAGAAGGCTATTCTTCCTGTGCTGGAGGGTCACGACACAATTGCACAAGCTCAGTCCGGTATGTGCGAGAGAGGTTGAGTGATAGTTAGGTACTGGAAAGACAGGTACTTTCTGTATCGCTGCTCTTCAGATGTTGGATTTGAATGATCCTAGCACGCAGGTTCTGATTATGGCTCCTACTCGTGAGCTTGCTTTACAGATCTTTAATGTTTTGCGTCACTTGTCTCACTTCATGAACGTGACGATGCACTGCTGTGTGGGAGGAACTGCTCTTCAGGAGGATATGAAGATGCTGGAGGGAAGTATCCAGATGATTGTGGGTACTCCCGGCCGTGTAAATGACTTGCTGCAGCGTGGTCTGCTGAACCTGAGCAACTGCAAGCTGTTCTGCCTGGACGAGGCCGATGAGATGCTCAGCCGTGGTTTCAAGGAGCAGATCTACGAGGTGTTCCAGTCGCTGAAGGACAACGTTCAGGTTGCTTTGTTCTCGGCCACGATGCCTCAGGATATCCTGGATATCTCGAAGAAGTTCATGCGCGACCCTGTTCGCATTCTGGTGAAGAAGGACGAGCTGACTCTGGAGGGTATCAAGCAGTTCTACGTGGAGATGGATAAGGAGAGCTGGAAGTTTGAGACTCTGTGCGATTTGTACGAGTCGATCACCATCGCTCAGGCCATTATTTACTGCAACACTCGCAGAAAGGTGGACTGGCTGACGCGTTCGATGCGAAACAAGGACTTCGTGACCTCGGCTATTCACGGAGATATGGATATGCAGGTCCGCAACTCCATTCTGAAGGAGTTCCGAAGCGGCGCCAGCCGTGTGCTGATCACTACCGATCTTCTGGCGCGTGGAATCGATGTGCAGCAGGTGTCGCTGGTCGTGAACTACGATTTCCCGACCGACCGAGAGAACTACATCCACCGTATTGGTCGCTCGGGTCGTTATGGACGAAAGGGTACTGCCATCAACTTCATTCTGCCCGAGGATCGTCCCATGATGGAGGAAATCGAGCAGTTCTATCACACCACCATCGAAGCCCTCCCCGCTGATATTAAAAATCTCCTTTAATTTTTCCTAGTCGTGGTCTGGTTATAGTTCCAATAGTATCGGTTGTTTGTTGCAAACAAGGCGCTATTCGTTTGTTCGTTACTACTTAATGCTTCTTGGCGTAGTGAGCCTTGAAACGAGCGAAGTCGTTCATGGCAGCCTTCTCAGCACGAGCAGCCAGCTTCTTAGCCCAGGAAGTCTCCTTCCACTTGTTATCGATGTTTCCAGCCACGAAAGCGTTCTTCACTTCAGCAGACTTAGCTCCACGCTCGATGGAGATGACGAAGTCAGTGAGGTAAAGGCGAGATACCTAGTACTCAGCACTCCTCTTCCACACTCCTACATTGATCTGTTGTCTCTTTACACCAGTGGTGGGTCCATCGATCAGAACCTGACACGTTACACATATGCTACACATCCTACTCTCTTTCCGTCAATAATATCAACGATGGTACACAACTTACCGAAGTTGGGTCCATAGTTAATGTAGGCAACGCGACCGGCCTCAACAAAGCGAGTGAACACCTACGACCACCATTAGAACCACCCCCACACAGAACAGCGAACATGCTCACCAAGTGGGCCTCTGAGCGCCTTGGTATGTTCAATGCACTCTACATTCAAAGACACGTACCATTGTATGTAATAAAGGTAGGACAAACGAAATCTGATTGAATCAAAACTAGTCGTAGATAAAATCAGGACATTTTCGATCATAATAATACTACTAGGACATTTGGGCCCCTCGCTGAATATACGCCCGACTCAGCCCACAATGCTATTTTTTAAATTAGAGACCGGTCGAGGTCGAGCGGTCGAAAACATAAAATTCTTGAGATAGGATCATGGATCAGCTCGATCGGCTCTCAATCAAGGAGTTACTTGATCTAAATACGGCTATCCAGAATGAAATCGCGTTACGCCTAGTTCGAATGAGTGAGGAGAATGAACAACGAACGAGTTTTTTTCGATCTTTGATATCTAGTGAAGCAAAACTCGCTTGTTTCGATGGATCGTCGCGATGTCTCTGTTACTACCGATATTCAGGTGAAACAAGTAAAAAATCCGAGTTGGATTAACACTGGGAAATTGCGTGCTACTGTATTTTTATAAATGAGATTTGACTTAGGCCAATCGCTTTCTCTTTCGAAATGTCGAATCGAGTCCCTATATTTCCAAACGCACTGCACATAAGTAGTCTCCTTTCGCGATTATCATGCAAAGAGACATTATTTGGGATGTTCGTTGGTGTCCTCACGAAGGGGAGTCGGATCTGTTCGTGTCTGGAAGTGCAGACCACACTGCCAGGATTTGGAAAGTGGATACGGAAGCACACACCATGAGTGTGCTTTGGAGCTACAGTGGCCATGACGGCTCCGTCAATACTGTACGATATCACCCCACTAAAAATATCATCTGCTCCTCCTCTGGAGACCGAACTTGTCACATTTGGAAGCCATCTCTCTCCAACAGTCTCAAAGAGTACCAATCGAATTGTCTGCGCTCACTGAACAGAGAAAACGACGAAGAGACCCCGTCGCATCGTTCTCTCCTTTCCGAGTCCCAGATCATCACAAAGCCGCTCATCAAACTCATCGCTCATCAGGGCTTCGTAACGACCGGCGAGTGGTCCGCCGACGGCTCTCAAATCTTCACAGGGAGCCAAGACGCCACGATCAAGGTCTGGGACATGGGGGATGCATCCAAGCCGATGTTTACCTTTCCAGGACACGATTCCACGATCACCAGCATCGCTTGCCATCCATCGAACACGAATTTGTTCTACTCATGTAGGCGAAATCGATCGAATGCATCGCAGCTTCGCAAGATAAAACGATCCGAATGTGGGACACGCGCGCCTCGTCGTATATGGTAAGACGCACAGCGAGGTGTGGAGTAGATTAACGTCCTGCATGGCCATGAAAAAGGCGTGTCGCATGTGATGTTTGATCGGCATAATCCGAGTGTGCTGATTAGCGGGAGCGACGACTGCACGGTGAAGCTGTGGGATGTCAAAACACTGCAGTGTTTGGTGACGATCCATACGAGTTATGTGATGAACCACTTCTCGCAGAGTCCTGAAGATGATATGCTCTGTATTCCTTCTCGAAATGCGTCGGCAGAGTGAGGATGGGGCGTGGGATCGAGCGTAGAATCTACACGTCGCAGGGAGATCCGCTTACTATTTTGTCGGGAGGGGGGAACGGACATAGTCGAATGATTGTGTCGTGCGACTGGAACAATAATGGCATTCTAACCGCGGGACTGGATCGAATGATCTGTCTGTGGGATGTGAATAGTGTGAATAAGGAATGATTGCGCTGACGTGTTTGTTGCAAGAAACAGAGCAGATTGCCGTTGTGTAGTTTGAGGGGAAGCGGCCCATCTTTCCGTCGAGTCTTCCTTCCCACCAGCCGCTCGGATCTTCGCGAATGACCTCGATTCGATCTCCCTCCTTGAACGAAAGCTCGCCGGCCTCGGCGCTGTCCAGGGAATAGAGAGCCTGCACGACACGATTGGGCTTGGGAGGAGGAGTGGGGAGAGGCTGCGAGTAATGTTCACTCACTGTGTGTTTCGGGTCCAGCATGTTGAAATCGCGGAATACTGGAGGCTCTATGTAGGTAGACTCGGGCATGGCGATTTCTGGAGCCACGTAGTTCATTTCAACGTTCTCTCCACACTTGATGCGATCCACAACGTCTTCGATGCTTTGCGTCACTTTCTTCACCGATTCGTCCCCGAAACTTGACGAAATCGTTTTCATCGCCTCGTTCTGCCGTTCCACCAGGAAGATTTCGCATGCCACGAGTGTAGCGGTTTCATGGGAGAGAATCGCGGATCCTTTTGCAATCAATTCTTCAAACCTCTTTTCAAGATACGCGGTATGTTCTTGAAGCATTTGATAATCGTGGTCCATTTTCATTCTGAATTTATCTGCGTTTACCGAGTCTCCTTTTCGCTCATACATGCTGCATTTGTTGCGGTGCGAATCGTAATCTGTAACAATGTTCTTGCGCGTTTTCACCACCTTTCCCACTTCTGCAAACTCGCCATCTAGCAGCTGCTCGATTCGCTTCAATATGTGAGCACGGAGAACGCAAATAATCGCTCTGCGAGTATAATCATACTCTCCTTGCAGAACATTGTGCAGGTTAGTAATGGCGATTTTGTATGTGTTCATGTCGGTCGTACCTACATCGGACTTACTTGTGAAACGCAAAAGTTCGTCAGCAAGTCTTCGGTTTGTGTCGCACCACGTATCCACGTTCTGAATCAAAGACACGCACTGTGTTCCCAGCATCTTCAGATTTCCTTCCACTTCTGAGAACTGGTGAAAGGCCAAGTCATAGGTTGCATCCGTCGTAATTTCTGACTTTCCCGTCGCCACCTTAAATTGCTGACTGAGCCTTCTCTTGGTTGTTTTGAGTGACTTTACTATCTTGTCCATAAGTTGTCCCTCTTCAGAGATTCCGGAGAAATAAGATTATATGCAGTTGTTACTGAACATAATCATGATCATATTCATCCGTCATTCCGAGGATATATACGTGAGTGATATACATGCATCCGTTCTTTTTACAAGATTCACTTTTATACTTGTGAGTGAGGTAGAAGTAGAGAAAAGTTGGAATTTGAGCAGTTTAGGTGGATTGACGAAAATGGATTTTATACTCCTTCTTATTACCCATTTATCACTTGTCACTTAACGCATACACATTCTGCCTGATTCTCTGATTCATTCTTGTCCCTCCCAGCCATAATCTTGCTTTTCTTGCCATTCTATTCACCGTCTATTCCCCTTCAAATAACTTTCCACAACTTCCAAAGTGCTCACAAAATCATTTTCTCATGCTGTATTTCATCGGTCTTGGATTAGGAAACGAGAAGGATATCACTCTTCGAGGACTGGAGGCAGTGAAGTCCTGCGATAAGATTTTTCTAGAGAATTACACTTCTGTGCTGTGTGTGGGCAAAGAAAAATTGGTAACCATTGGGTCAGCGAAATAATACGCAGGAAGAGCTGTTTGGACATGAAATAATCGTTGCTGATCGTGATCTCGTTGAGTCGAATGATGAAATGATTTTGAAAGACGCCAGTACATCGAACGTGGCGTTCCTCGTCGTCGGCGATGTATTTGGGTTGGAGTTTCCTCTCTTTCTCGAACTTAGTGCCACCACGCACACGGACCTCTGGATTCGTGCGAAGCAGCAAAACATTCCAGTTCAGGTGATTCACAATGCTTCCATTATGAATGCTTGTGCTTGCTGTGGTTTGCAGCTCTACCGATTCGGCCAGACGATTTCGATCTGCTTCTTCACCGAAACCTGGAGACCGGACAGCTTCTACGAACGCATCGTCCAGAACCACTCCATCGGCCTCCACACTCTGTGCTTGCTCGGTAGCAATCGATCGTAATTCCCATCCAGACATCAAGGTGAAGGAGCCGGACTTCAAAGAGCTGATGAAGGGTCGCACCGTCTATCTTCCTCCCCGCTTCATGACCTGCAACCAAGCGATCGACGAGCTTTTAGAGGTGGAGGAGAAGCACGGCAAGGGAGGTATAGACGAGTCCATCTGTGAACGCTAGTGTGTGGTCCGGACGCGTTGGCGGTGGGCTTGGCTCGCGTGGGGCAGGAAGACCAGTTCATCTGTTTCGGCACGCTCAAAGACCTCCGCGAAGTCGACTTCGGCGCCCCGTTGCACAGCCTGATTCTCTGCAGTCCGGAGCTACACGAGATGGAGCGGGAGATGCTGGAGTACTTCAGTGTGAAGAAGCTCTCTGCGTGATCTGTTTGCAACAAACACGTTCATTTATCATACAAGGCTAGTTTGGAATTGGTCTATAGGGCGCTCTGGCGCTCTCTTTGGCTGCTGATTACGAATCCATTCATTCATTCATTCACTCATTCACTCATTCACTCATTCACTCATTCACTCATTCACTCATTCACTCATTCATCAATCAATCATCGAAAAGCCCTTCGGGCAGCGGCGCGCCGTCCGGGAGCTGCTTCAGCGCTCGCAGCTCGTCAAAGAAGGGATGGCGCAGCACTTCGCTGGCTACACCTCACGCCATTTCCCCTCCCTCACCCGTCAATCGGTCCTCTGGGATGTACACCAGCAGCTTGCTCATCAGATCGATCGCCTGCGCGTCGTGGCAATGCACCAGCACCTTCACATCACGCCTCTCCGTCTCGCTCACCTCGCTCAGATCCTTATGAGCGATATTCGGAAACTTCCCGGGATTGTAGTTCGGATTCATCCGCCGCACCTGCTCGTCCGTCGGCGTCCCCAGCACCTTGATGATCTCGACCATCTGTCCCACGTTGTTCTCGCCAGGGAACAGCGAGGAGCCCGTCAGAAGCTCGGCCACGACGCACGCCATGCTCCAGATGTCCACCGCCACCGTGTAGTTCGTCGCGCCGAAGATCAGCTCCGGCGCGCGGTAGTAGCGCGAGCAGATGTAGCAGACGTTGGGCTCGTTGGGGGACAGGCGCTTCGCGCTGCCGAAGTCGCAGATCTTGATCACGTGTGTCTTGGGATCGATGAGCACGTTCTGCGGTTTGATGTCGCGGTGGCAGATGCCGCGCGAGTGGATGTAGGCGAGGCCTTTAAACATCTGGTAGGTATACAGCTGGAGTAAAAAAAGAGAGATGCGATCGATACCTTGACATAGATGAGGGGAAGCAGGGTATGGGCCCTCACAAAACGCCTGTTATAGCGGTAGAGGTTATCCGGAATGTACTCCATTACCAGATGAAGATATTCTCCCTAGAAGTCATGGGAACTGACAAGCAACACAGCTTCCGTTTGCGAGTAAAAGGAATTGTACAGCGTCACAACGTTGGGGTGGCTGAGCAACTTCATCATTTGTAACTCGCGATTCTACAAGATTACTGGAAAACACAGAAAACACCTTGTAGTTCTTGTCCTGAAAAACTTTCTTCACGGCGACTATTCTCCCCGTGCCGCATTCCTCCGCTTCATATACAATTCCAAAGGTTCCTTTGCCAACGGCTCTGATAACCGAATATTGTGTTACTCGTCTCTGGAGTGGTTGCTGCCGATCACAACTCGATAAATACACTCACTCGCAAATTCATGTTGATCTTTCAAATAGATATCTTTTCAATAGTGCTAGTATCCTTGCAAAATCCTACCCGGCCTTGGATTCAGAATAACCGCAATAAGGATTTCCCTTTTGTATATACTTTAACAACACGGACTTCCCCGCGGGAGTTTTCTCCTCTTTCGCTCTTCATTTTTTTCTTAATGAGTACAAAGTCAAATAGACGTGCTAAAGGAGATAAGGGACCTGCCAAGAGTAGCCAGTCCCAAAACTTTATTTCCGCATTGTCTGACCCAAGTCTTGTAAATATGGACTTGCTGAATGGGGTGTCATTTAATTCGCCAATTTCTCCTTCGCAGACTGTGTCCGTCGGTCAGACTGCGGTCTATTTTGGTAATAACGAGCTCTATCGAAGCAAAATCAAGCTCTTGCTCAAGAAAAGCACAGTAACGCGCATTCGAGTGAGATTGAACTTGGAGTGTGAGTGTAGGCGTTAAAAGAGATGGAGCCGGTGTTTGCTTCTGCTTCCAAGCAGGATGTGAGTGAAATGATGCCCTCCCTCTGCTTCTACTACAATGAAATGCTGTATTGCCAGAGTTTTCAAGTCCGATACGAAATCAGTAAACGTAGTTTTGTTGTCCGGTGTCTATTTTCAGGTTTGAGAGAAGCCTTGGGAGTTCTTAGGAGCGATGTGAAACACTTTGTGAAGCACTTCATGGTACCTTTACAGATTTACATGTGCGATGTAAACAGTTCTGTCAAGCAGTTTAGCACCGATCTGTTCAATGTTTTTGCCTCTGGTTGTGCGTCATCCGCAGGAAATAATTCCAGAAGAGCGTCGCAATGCTGTCCTCGCCAAATACTTTGAAGAAACTCTCCTTCTGGCCGATTCTCTCGGTCATGCAGATTACAATTTGCTAGATCAGCACCACACCGAAACAGGTCCTGTTTCTTCGCTTCTTCCATCTCTAGAATCAATAAGCGACTCCATGGAGCGACTCCACACCACATCCCAACTCGTCTTCACCGCCTTGCTCCAATATCGAATCCCTATTCCCTCCTCTTCCATTTCTCTTTATCGCTCCGCTCTCTTCGCGGGCATTCGCGAGGTCACGCAGACTGGCGGAGCCAACACGCTCATCCTCGTCATGGAGATCGCGAACTCGCTTCCCTGGGACACGCTCGACTTTTCTTCCACGGAGGCGATGCAGTTCAGCAGCCAGGTTCGCAAGCTGCTTTCCGAAACGGGTCCCAAAGAAACACCTGCCACGAAGAGCCATCTCGACAACATACTAACGATGTGGATGACGCTTTCGCTGAAGTGGGTGGCAGGGCAGCATGGCGATGTAGATATCCTGCGATCTACGCGGAAACCAAGCTGGAATCCTACACGAAAGTGCTGCTGACGCGGCTTCGCAAGTACTCGAATTCGTCTCATTCGATGCAGAAACAATCCCTTCGGAGTCGTCGCCTGCGAGAACTTCTCGTTCGTCTTCCGCGTGTTTGACCGCTGTCTTGTGCAGCCCGCAGGGCAGTCGGCTGCGCAGTGGAGTGGCGCGCTGTTCGACGCGCTGTTCCCTTCCAATCCCACATTCCAGCCCTCCGAATCGCTGATTCCCGTGTATTTGGAGCTGGGAAAGCAGTTGCTGAGCCAAGAAGCGGAGGCAGAAAAGGCAGAAGCGGCGGACCACATCACGCCCATGTTTCTGCGGTTCTTTGAGCACGCGTCGAACGCTGCGCTGAATCAGCTTCTGACGATTCTTCCCTCGCTCGTCGAAGCGAATCCCGCGATTTTCTCGCATTATTTCGCTTCCTATTTCCTCGCCGCGCTCAAAGACGTCCAGAACCCACACCAATCCGATCGTCTGCGCGTGTTGTCGGCGCTCGCCAACACGTCGATCGCCTCGGAAGTTTCGCAGTGCGTCCAAACGCAGATTCAGTGCGTGATCGAAGACTATTTGAAAGGATCCATTCCCGATCTTTCCATTTTGAAGCACGTTTTCGCGCGGCTTCAGCAATACGCGGCCCAATTCGCCGATTTGATCGGGTTTCTCGCCAGCGAATTGGCGGGCTGCGAAGAAAAAGTGACCTCGCAGATCCTCGCGGAGATTGCAACGCACCTGACCGACGAATTCTTCGAAGCCAGTGCGCTCCCATCGCTTCTTTGACTTTAGAAACCGCCGTGCTCAAGAGCTACATCGCCCTGCTTTCCTCCCTCGGAACCGCGGGGAAAACGCTCGTCGACGCGCTGCGCAGCCGCATTGGTTCGTTGGATTCCCCGCGGAACCTCCGCGCCTTCCTGCTGGAACTGCTGAAGGATCTGGACCTTCCCGGCCTGCAGCGCGATGTGATTGAGTTGGTGGATGTGCATGACGCGACGCTGCTGCTTGCAATCCTGGAAGACTCGCTCGTGGTGAATTCAGAGGAGATGATGCGTCGAATCGAAGCGGTTCTCAGCGATTTCGAAATCGATTTCGTGCTGACTTTGTTTAAAGGACCGCTCGCGAAGCAGTTCTCCGCTCGGTCGATCGAGACGCTGATTGCGATGTTGATCGCACTCCCCGACTCGGAGCGACTGGATCGGAAGGACGCCATCGCGGAGATCTCGCTGTCGTCGTTCTACGAATCGCTGGTGAATCATTTCGTCGATTGGCTGCAGCAGAACCTTTCGGACGCGCAGTTCGTGTTCTTCTCCGACCTGCTTCCGCTGTGCGTGGATTATCTGCAGCCTCTCCGCGAGCTGTTGGAGAGCGAGGCGTATTGGAGACAGATCCTCACCGGCTCGTTCGATTACGATTTCATTCTCGAAGCGATCAGCGAAGTGGATTTGGTGTTGGACCCTTGTTTGCATCTCTCTCCGGTGTCTCACATGATTCGCTTTGTGCTCTTCCAGACCTTCCACGTGTACGCGACGTTCTCTTTGGTTTATCGTAGCTCGCTGCGCCACATCCAATTGCGATCGGTCGCTTGCTCCATTCCCGATCTCATTCAGGCCTTCTCTCTCTTCCAATCCATCCCCTCCAATTCCCCTAGTACCTCTCTTTTCATTTCCTTCGCTCACCCATCAGAATACGATCTTTATGTAACGGCTCTGCCCAGCTTCATCACGCTCCTCTCCGATTTTGAGCTCCCCGAGATCCTCAAATCCGCCATTCCGCACCCGCTTCTTTCCAAATATCTGAAGAAGCTCTGCCATTCCAACGAGGCCTTCGAGTTCCACGACGCCTCTCCCCTCACCGACGTCTACTACGCCCAGCTGGCTTCCTGGATGGCCTCGCTGCACTCCGCCCTCGCCGGGACCTCCGTTTCCACGTTGCTCGACGCGATGCGATCGCTGGAATGCGGACTGAATCGCTTTGTGGCGTTGACTGGAGAGGAGCAGAGTCGCCTGACGGAGCTGGCGAAGGAGCTGTGCTCGCTGTTCTACGCAGTGAAGGGAACGGCGACGGCGACAGCGCTCAGCGAAGCGTGTAAAGAAGAGAAGGAGTTCGTTCCCGCGATGATCTCGCTGGTGACGAGTATTTTGTCGCTGTATTCGCTGAATCAGGACATGACGCAGCTGTTCGAAGGCGAGGTGTGGAACATTCTGGCGCAGTGCAGCGCGTCGTTCGTCGATTTCCCGTTCCTTTGTTTGGGTTTGGAGGCGTGTGATGAATAATAGTAACGCGGTCGTTGAAGATGATGCTGCGAATCCATGAATTGAATGCGTACACAATCCCGGAAGCGGTCTACAATTCGCTGCTGCTTCAGTTCAGCACGTCGATTCTCTCCGTTCTGAATCGCTATCTCCAAACGCCGATCGCATCGCGGCATCGCAGCGTGTTGGCTCGCATCTACAAGTCGATCTCGACGCTCCATCTCCCTTCGATCACTTCGCAACTCACCGATTGGATTTCCCAATTCGCTGATTCTTCTTCTTCTTCTTCTTCGTTGGAGCAATCGGTCGATTTGACGATCTGCATTCTCTTCTTATTGCGAGAAAGTCGCGTTGCGATCGCCGTCTCATCTGCAGAACACTCCATGAATTCGGTGCTTCAGGCTCTTCAACGACTCGCAAACCCCGCTCAGTTTGAGAACGCTGCGGTCGAGAAGCTTCTTCTCTATCTCATCATCGTGTGCTACGAAGCCGATGCGATCACTCAAACCGAGGACTTGTCGCACGAAGACGAGCAAGCCGAGCTCTCCGACGAAGCGCGCGCCGCGCAGTTCGAAACCCAGACGCTCTTCGACGGTTTGAATTCCCTGGTTTCCACGCTGTTCAGCACGGAACTGCTTCCGAACGCCTTCACGACGATCGTTCGACGCATCCCGCAGACCTCGCTCACCTCCAAGAGCCGCGTTTGCGTTCAAAACTCGTTTCATTGTAGCCGGCCTATCCGGATCTCTCGCCGATGGCGCTGTTCCAAGCGGACTGGGAGTCGCAGATCGCGATCTACACGTTGTACAGACTGGGTATTTCCTTCCCTGCGCAGCTGCAGTACTTGTTCATCAACAATGTGAACGGGCTTTCGCAGCAGCGAGTGATGTCGCTGCGCGCCTACACGCATTTCTACCTAACGAAGCCGGTTTTGCTGGAGAACGTGAAGCGTGCGACGCAGATTTTGCAGAAGGAGGATCTGGAAGACGTGACGATTGACACGAAGTCGGACGGCGTAGGCGCGAGGAGAGGGGTGAGACGCAGATTTACATGCAGTTGATGATCGATATGACGCCGGTGGTGGTGCATTTCGTGTTCTCCGACTATTATCCGCTGGATATTTCGATCGTAGCTTAGCGATTGGCCTCCCATGCAGCTGATTCATAACCAGAACTCCTTCCTGCGCGCTGCGTCCGTCGAGAAATGGCAAGTGATGATCCGCAAACGACTCTCAAACAACCGGCCTTTCTATATGAGCATGGTTCTCATCGCCAAATCGCTGCTTCACCACGTGTCCAATCTCGAGCCCTGCCCGATTTGCTACTGCGTGCTGCACCCTTCGACGCATTCGCTGCCCGATCGGAACTGCTCGCACTGCGTGGGACGCTTCCACAGCAGCTGCTTGACGACGTGGTTCAAAAACTCGCAGAGTCACAACTGTCCGCTCTGTCGACAGCCCATCGCGTTGTAGTCATTTGTTTGTGCGTTTGTTTGTTTGCTTATTAATTAATTTATTAAATTATCTATCTATTTATTTATTTATTTATTTATTTATTTATTTATTCTCAAACACACCACCCTCTCAATTTACAGATCCGTCCGCCTTCACCTCCACCTCTTTGTTCGCTTCTTCCTTCTTTTTGTATTCCTCATCGGCCGCTTTGCTCGCTTCCTTCACCGCTTCACGCACTTTTTGCTCCTCCTCCGCAGCCTTCTTCTGCTCCTCCTCCTTCTTCTTGGCTTCCTCCTTCTTCTTCTCTTCATCCTGCCGCTTCTTCTCCTCGTCTTGGCGCTTCTGCTCCTCCGCCTTTCGCGTCGAATCGTCTTCTTTCTCCAACTGATCCTTCATCGACCACCAAGTGTGCATATTGCGAGGCGCCTTCTCGTTCTTCTACCATCGAGTTCCAGTCCCGCCCCTACCGCTAAAATGTTCTCCCAGTGTCCACGCTCCTTCTTCTTCATCATGAGCACTACGCGACCCACCGAGGCGTCGTTCCAACGCGATTCCTTCCATTCAATCCAACGAAAAGCAATACTTCTGGATTCAGCTCCTTGCGCAGCGCCAGATTCAGCACGAACTTCTTCTTGGTCGAAGGACTAGAGTGAATGGAACCTGGCAAACTCACCATTTGGACTCCACATACACGGATCGCTCAGAGAACGTGATGTTGGCAACATGGCAACCGAGCGTGGCAGGAGTGTCCCATTTGTGAGCGTATTTAATATTCACATTGATCTAGTCTCGATTGCGATGGAAAAACAGTACATCATTCATTCCCTGAGCCCACTGGAAAGCGGGACTAATCACTGCCCAGTCATTCTTGTTGTTATTGATCATATTCTGTATTTTCTGAAGATTGGATCTAGCTCACAGCGAAAAGAAGCAGCCAACCTGATAATGGCAGCCGATCGAGAAAACGCAGAAGAAATATCGATTTTCTGCTCTTGTGCAACATTTACAATGTGTTCAGCAGCCGACCACCAAGAACGCTGAACTGCCTACAAGTCATGTTTCAAGAAAACCCGTACAATCGAAATAATGTTCTTGTCGATCTTCTCGTTCGACTCAATACGTTGGCGCAGCCACTCGATTGCCTCGTCCTCCGATGTGCACTCACTGAACGCCACTCCCTCTGCCGTAGATAGAATTACAAAACAGAATGCTAGAAACAAAAACGAAAAACACTTCCTCATATCGAAATGATAATAGAATCGATCAGATTTCTGGAACAATGGGAGTTTCATTGGTAAGAGTCATTCAAAATGACTCGATTCTTGTAATAAATACACATTCAATAGAGTTTTGCTTGTTCTTTTTTTATGCTTGACCGTATGAGAAATAGTACTGTTATTTGGCAAGGAGACAGGGATTCTTTTTTATAACAACATAACTCCATGGGTGTATGTACATGGGAGAAAGAGATTGATAGTTTTTTACTTTATATTTTTAGGCAAGATTATGCAATTGTTTTCGAATTGCTATTTTGAGTTTTAAATCCTCATCGATTCTGGTGAGTTACACAAAAAATAAATATATATATATATTATTTACCGAATGACCAATAATTAGTTCAATGATTCGTATGTACAATTCTTGTCAGTTTCTCGTATTGTACTACTCATAATGAGTCTATTCACGAATAAATCTTCGTAAACGGAGATTTTACAATTACGAAGCAAAAGTATATTGAATGACACCAATATTTCAACACATTACGTATTCAGAATGCCACCATTTCTATTCTAACACTCATGATTGTTGCACCTGTTAACTCTCTCATTTTGTGTATACTCTCTTTATCAATCAATTCAAATCGAATAATTCATTCCATTCTTCAGACATCCACTTTTTGTTTTCTGTTGCAGAGAGTATGAAAGCAATCACCATATGGGACATTGCTTTGTTACTTGAAGCAGTCGTATATGTTATTTTTGCAGGGTTAGTTGCCTTAGAGTACTGTTCGACCTCCTATAATGTGTATTGCAATGAAACCAAACGCATAATTCCTTTAGGGATGTAAGTCTTGGAAGTGAAGTCCGCAAGACCATTTACCTATTTGTATTCATTGGTTCGCTCTTTCGGATTCTTGCGTTTGTGGTTTGAATGTGTACTTCCCTATAGAATTATAAGCCATGTCTTTTTCACGTTTCCTGAATTCTGTCGTACCTACGTGATAACAATGATAGAAGAGACAACCAATTTGATTTTTATAACTGGGTATGACTATCTGTCGACTGCAATCTAGTCTTTCTCTGCAAGTGGTGTTCATCGTTCAGATTTACTATGCTTTGCTTGGTTTAATCCAACCAGCGATTCGAAAAGTGTTTATCTGGATGATTATGTGCGTATGTTCACGGTCTCTTCTTCAATGTAGTCGTACATGCTTTCTTTCTTCTCCGTTTTTCTCGGGTTATTCGTAGACGTTGAAATTACAATCAACTGCACTCAGTAGGCTGATGTGCGTTAACCCTCCATTCCCTCTAGTCTCATCCTCACCGTGCTCTGCTTTTTCTGCTTATTTTCTCTTCTACTCTACGGATTCCGCATCTATTTTGAAATGAAGCGCATCGAGGTATCGCGCAACATCATCATCAAGGTATGCTATCTTTTTTTCGTCGATTCGACTCCAGATGATCATAATTCTCTTTATTTCTTCTTTTACTTTTTTCTTCCGAGCCATTATCGAGATTTTGTTTCTCTTCGATTTCATCAAGTTGGACTTTGAGTTTTTATCTCTTTCCTTTTCTTTTATTTCGCAGCACTTCTTCGAATGGCAGCATGCATCTCATTGGATCGCATCTCTACGCTTCGTACCTCTCTCTCTTCATCGTCATCATCATCCATAGCACGATGTACTTCTTCTTCTTCTACTTCGTTACGGAAATCACTCCCCTCTCTATTCTGCTCCTTTCCACCTACATTCGCACTGATTCGCGCAAGAGCAAGCCCCGTCCTGACAAGCGCGTCGTTTCCACCGTATACGAGCCGACATCGCCGCGATCTTCGTACAATCGGCACTCTGTAGCGCAAACGTCGAGTATGAACGGTTCCGGTTCGCGCGGAGATGATGTGTGCACTCCGGTAGTGGTTGTGCGGGGCTTTGATCTAGCTGCTGGTGTCCTCGTCGCCCTCGCTGAGCATTCAGCTGTCTTCGCATATCAAGAAGAAGACCATGTAACATTGCGTGTTTGTTGCAAAACAATCGAACTAACTTAACACTTGACTCCCGTGACAGTGACAATGACAATGGCCACAATCAGACCGTACAGAGCAAGAGCCTCTCCGAAAATCAGCATCAGCACCATACCGACGAAGATTCTCTCTTGTTGACCACAAGCGCGAACACCTAGGCGTCAGCAACCAATTAGGCGTAGCCTACCGGCATCTCCGGCAATACCAATGGACAGACCCGCAGCCAGGCACGAGAGACCGCAGCTGAGACCCGCAGCGAGGTGTCCGTAGCCAGAGAAGCTAGAGTAGTGGGTTCCATCAGCACCAGGAGGAGTGACTAGAGTGAGAAGCGTGGAAACGAACCCTACTGACATACACCATAATGATGGAGGCAATAAGTCCGTAGATACCCAAAATACCAGCCATAATGACAGGCAACATATTCTTCATGACAGCATCAGGTCTGAAGACACCCATCGAGCATACACCCACTCCAGCCTTCGCCGTTCCGTAGGCAGAGCCAAGATCTAGAGGGTTATCGTTTTATGATCCAAAACGCACTGGCAAAGATGATAGAAGCAGCAACTCCCATAAAACCAAAGAAGGGCGCAGAAGTGGGGCAGAGCTCAGAAATGGTCATATCGAACACAGTGGACAGCATTTGGGTTGTTGGTAGCGGAAATAGTGAGGTGGAGAAATGGAGAAATCGTGGAAATGTGAGTTATTCGTGGGCAGGAGGTGATAGAAATAAAAAAATCCGAACAAGGCAGGATTGATAATTTGAAAAAGGGTAGTTCTAAGGGTCCAGCGCCAAAAGGCTGATCTTTTCAAAAAGCAAGCTCTTTTGGCCACATCGTCTTCTATTTTAAATTTTTTCCATCCTTCCCGTAATTGTACAGGAAGAGACTTTCGAAATACAAATCAGATATCATGCTATAATATAACCGTTAATTGAACCTTATGAAATAATGGAATTGGGACATGGCCAAACATTATTGTGTGTTTAAGAAATCTCATAATATCTCTTAGATAATTAAATAGGAAGTAAGTAGCTGCTACAAAATGTTGATGCAATCGATGGAGTTGATTTTGTACATATTTTACTCACGGTAACTTAGATGCCGCGTAAAGACGACGATTTTGACGATTTTGAAGAGGAGGAGGTCGAAGAGGAGGAGGTCGAGGAAGAGGAGGTCGAGGAAGAAGAGGAAGAGGAGGAGGAAGAGGAGCCTGAGGACGATCTGGAGGAAGTTGATATTGAGGAGATGGGAGTCCGTAACGAGTCCGAGGAAGAGGAGGAGGAGCGCGAGGATGTTTGGAAAAACGGACCTCATCCCGTGGACCAGGAAGTGAACCCTGAGAAGTGCTACATCCACTCCTACACAAAGGAGGGTGTGGGCCGCTTCATGAAGAAGACCAAGCTGAAGATTACCTGGGAGCTTGTTATTGAGGGCGAGGAACACACGATCGCTGTGTACCACAGCCAGCTTTCTGGAAAGAAGGTGGTTCTTCTTGATGGAGATACCGAGTACGAAGAGAATGAATTCTTCGATGCTGGTTTGGACTTCACGTTCCCGTTCCGTATCGAGGGTCGTGAAGTGGCTGTGCTGATTTCGGATGCTACCTTGGAAGGAAGAATTGGCTGGGACTACGATATTCTGATTGACGGAGTCTCCCTCACCGAGTTGAACGAGAAGCGATCGATGGGTGCTAGTGGTAGTTACGAGGAGGATGAGGAGTTGTTTAACTAATAAGGAATAATTGTTAATGTTTCTGCTAATTGCGTTAAGGTAAATATATTTAGTGTTGTTTGTTGGAAGAAAGGAAGAGGAGAGAGGGCTGGGAAGGCAGTTTTTCGTTTACTTGTTTACATACCAACTGAAAACTAGTTCGAATGACTAGCAGAGGTTGTTGTACAATTCGTTTTCTTTTTGTCTTCGCATTAACGTTGCTATGGTTATGCGAAGGAGCATCAAGAGGAAAAGGTACGTTTCGGCTTGGGAATCGAGGTTATTCGTAGGCGATAGCAGAAAACGGGCGAAGAGACCTTCTCCTCGTACTTTGACTCTTTCTCTCTTCCTAACGGGTAGATAGTAGCGAAAATCACGTAGATGTCAAATTTAACGAATATCCGTATGCAGAAACGCTATCTCCAAAAATAGGTGGATCTTGTGTTTCGAGAATGATCGATAGATCAGCTGAAGTATATTATCCTAGAGCCCGCAGTTCTCAATTTTTCAGAGAAGCCTGTGTGTCAGCAGTGGACAGGAGTCGATGTGCATCGTTCGAGACTAATTTTGTAGAAGTTCAATATTTATAACACCCACCACTCTGCTGAATTGAAAATCCGATCTTTTCAGTTTTCCAAAGATCCTCTGGTTTCCATTTCCAACCACAACCCCGTAACAATCAAACCTGACGACAGCGGCACCTACGAAATCCGGCTCATTCCGGAATCGCTCGGAATGACCGAACTACTGTGCACGATCTACACGAATTTTGGAATCCTCAACTACAAAGTGCTTTCTTTTTCCTCTCCCTTCAACCAATCAGATCGTCGTCGTGGGCGTCGAAAACCCCTACAAAGTCCTTCCCTATATGAACACCCACATTCCCCGCGGGAGCACCTTCAGCCAGTCCGTTTCGCTCTGGAACCCCAGCAAAACGCGCAAAATCCGCGTCTTCCGCGTGGTTCCCTCCGACCCGCAGCTCCAAGTCCACATTTCCGCGCCCAGCGAGATCGGTCGGGTTTCTCCGTTTCCCTCATGGCAGAGTGGGTCGTGCCCGAGCAGTCTTCCGCGGTTATCTTCGCGTTCAGCGTGGCTTCGAGCGGCTGGAGCGGCTCCGCGTATTTCTTCGTGCGTTGTGGCGTGGCGGGCTCACTGGAAGGGCACCATCAGCGTGGTTCTGGACGTCGCCACGCTCACCATCCCCGTCGAGCTCTTCGGCGATTCCGGCATCGTCCAGACGCGGCCCAAGTCGCTCTTTCTCGGCTACCTTCCGCAATGTCCGCTCGCTGCCCCGCGGTTATTCGTAGACGCGGAGACGGCGCGGGACCTGGAGGTGCTGAACAGCAACCCCACGCCGCTGGTGGTGGAGTCGGTACACATCCAAGTCCACGACGGCGGGCTGTCCAGCGGCGCGGAGGCGTCCCTTCTGCCGGTCCACGCGGTGGCGAACACGACGATCCGCGCCTTCCAATACGCCACGGTGCTGCACATCGCCTTCGCCTCCGCGCTCCCCGGGAACTACAGCGGCGTTGTGACCATCCACCTCAACGGCACGCAGCCTCTCGTCGTTCCCTACGCGTACACGTGGGCATCCCCGCGGGGAGTGACGCGTAGAGTGGTGGAAGGCGCGGTCGTGGCGCCGTCGCCGCTGTTCTTCTGCTTGAAGCCGTCGGTGCGGTCGAAGATCCTGCCGATCCCGCTGCGGCTGCGGAACGAGTATCCGGTGCCGATCGCGGTGACGCGCGTGGGGATCGCGGACAGCGCGATGCCGTATATCACGGTGAGCGATCAGTGGAACGGCACGCGGTTCACGGTGGGCGAGGAGGGCGTGGATGACGCGCAGATGAATCATACGGTGGCGTGCGCGGCGGCGGCGCATCGCCCCTTCACGCCGTTGTACGTTCTGTTCCATGTGGCGCGGTATCGGCCTCGGATGTAGCCGTGGATGCAGGAATCGAGCGTAGGCAGCGCGCAGTGTTCAGCACCACGCTGTGGATCCACACGAATCTCACGTCCATCCCCGTGGATCTCGTGGTCTACGACGGCCAGCTCTCCACGTACGTCTCCAACAATCTCCTCGCCTCGCCGTAGTCGCTTGGGGTCCGATGAACCGCAGGCTCGTCGACGGCGAGTCGATCAACTGGGGGACGCGGCTCACGCCCGTGCTCTCCGCCACGTCGCTGCTCTCGCTAAATCTCGATATGGGCTACGTCCACCCCAACGACCATCGCTACCAGACCGTGGTGCTCTACAACCGCAATCCGGTGAGCGTGGAAGCCACCATCCGCTCCTCCAATCTCCCGCACGTGAGCTTCTACCCCATTTTCCGAGCCCAACTCAACAACCAGACCGCTTCCGAAGCGAGTCTCCCGAACCGTTTTCGTTTTTGAGATGAGTCGATCGTTCGTAGTGTTCTCGCTGCCCGTGCATCAAATCCTGTTCGCCCCGTGGGAATACCTGGTGTTCCTCTTCGAGCTGAATCCGCTTCGCAATCCGTCCCCGGCGATCGACGCCTATCAGCAGCCCATCGACGGCATTCCCTCCATCGTCACTTACAACTTCTCCGATGTCGTCGAGGTCACCACCGAGATCCAGAAGGTTTGTCTGCTCCTTCCTCTCTATACCGCAGCTCTCGTTGGGAGTCCATTATCTCTATCTGAACGGCACGCTCACCGTCGGCGACGCCAACAACACCATCGACCTCAAGATCTTCTTCGGGCACGACAAAGTCTTCCACAACATTCAATACGTCAACACGCTCGGCACCGATCTCGAGATCCTCAGCGTCGAGGTCTCGTCCTCCAATCTCGGGCTTCAATACCCCTCTTCGAGGCTCCTTTCCTCCCCAGACGGCGCGTCCTCTTTCCTCGGAACGCTCCACTACGACCCCACCGAAGAATACGACGCCTGTCGCTCGCTGCTCTGCGACGTGCTGCCCGCGCGCGGAATGTTCGGAACCGAGCTCGCGCAGCTGCCATCCGAGCCCTCCGCGAGCATGCTGGATCGCTGCTCGAAGCAGAAAGCGATCTATCAGCGCGCCTCCGACTCCTACGAGTCCGAAACGCTCTCGTTCGCTTCGTTTTCTCTCTCTCCAACTCGTAGAATTCGAACGAACTACGCGGGATCGATCGACGTGCACATCCACATCTACCCGAAGCTCGTCAACCTGCTTCACAATCCGCGCCACACGCTCTCCTCCATGATCAGCAAGGGCCTCTTCACGCTCCTCTCCGATCTGGGCTTTCCTCTCGACTGGCACGCGCAGACGCCGTCCTGCTCGCGGCATTACCGCCACGTACACGGCGTGGAGGTCGACGAATCGCTCTTCTACGCGTACCACGCAGGACCGAAGCACGACGGCGAGTCGCTGCACTGCGCCGATCTCAAAGAGTCCCGCTCTCTGTCCTTCGACAACGCGCAGCACGCGATCGTGCAGGGCCAGGACGTCGTTTTGTTCAGCGACACGGTGCTGGGAACCGCGCGGACGCTCACGCTCACGCTGTTCAATCCGCTGGAGTACCCGGTGTTGGTTCGACTGGCCGCCGCGCCCGACACGCGCGAGATCGCAGGGTTCCTCCCCTCGAATCGCTCCGAGAGCATCGCAATCGACGCGGAGGCGGTGCTGGAAGGAACCATTCCGTCCAATGGCCGCCTCGTGCTGGGGCCGCTGACGTTTACTCCGACGAACCTCGGAGTGTTCAGCGAGTACTTCATGCTTTTCAATAACTATACGGGCTTGCAGCCGCGTATTTTTTCCATCTCCGCTTTATCTCTAGTTCTCCTCGCGGGGCGCTGCGTCGAGCAGCCCATTCTCATCGGCGATTCTGCCGGTCTTCTCAACGAGGTTTCTCCGGTTTCTCCTTTTCATGGGTAGCATCTCACGGTCTACTTCGATTACTCGATCACACCCGATTTGAAATATGATCCGCGCACCTACCAGAACATCAAAACCTACCACAAGGCGGAGCTGCTTCTGCGGCGCGACGTCACCGTGCAGCTCTTCAATGTTTCGATGCTCACTCCCGACGGCCAGCCCACGCGGCGCGCGCGCGTGCTGCTTCGCCCCGTCGAGGTCGCGCAGTCGCGGTTTGTGTCGGGAAAACCGCGGTTTACGGACGAGGACGTGCGGTCGGACGTGATTCCGTACGGCGGAATTCCGTTTTCGATCACGTCTGGGTTCGGAGAACTCCCGACGGAAGGGATTCCGATGAGCAGCGACATTCGGATCCAGATGCTGCTGATAAACTATCCGAACTGCGCTCCAGAGGAGTCGTTCGTTCTGCGCGTGGGGCGTGCGGCGAGGGCGTGAAGGGTAGGTGAATTCGAGCGTGGGGATTCGCGATGTGCTGCTGGATTTCCATTACTCCTTGGTGATCGAGCAGATCTGCATTCAGAACTTCGCGGTAGTCACTTCTTCCTATCTCTACGAGTGCGTTCTGCGGCTTTTTTGTTCCCGTGTAGAGTGTGGTATCTCATCGTGCCGCTGCTCCTCTTCACGCTGATGTCCCTCGTCTTCTTATTCCGAAAGATTATCGAGACCAACGCCATCACGGTGGAGCGTCGCATTCTCCAAATCGTGGACAACAACATCAAGCGGACTCGCTACTACGCGATCGACCACTCGCTTGGATTCATCGAGATCCCTGCGCCTGCGATTCATTCGTCTGCGGCATCGAAGCCGGGAGAGAAGCTGGTGCTGACCGGGGAGAAGAAGGCGAAGCTAGCGGCGAGCATTCCGCAATCGAAGAGTCTGAACTTGCTGGATAGCGTGGTGAAAAAGAATCAGAAGTCGACGCTGAATGAGACGCTGATGCAGGAAGAGTTGGGGAAAGTGGCGCAGAAGATTCAGAAGAAGGAGAAGGAGAAGAAGAAGAAGAAGAAAGAAAAGAAGGATGCGGAGATGAAGCGGAAGAATAAAGGAAAATCGACTGCAAATGCAAATGCAAATGCAAATGCAAATGCAAATGGAATGGAAGAAGGAGGAATGTTGGACAGAGAAACGAAACGTGGAAATGAAGAAAAGGGGAAACTGGAGTCGGTGGAACAGGGAAAAACGTCGGAATCGAAGTTTGAGCAGAAGCTGGAGCAGAAGATCGAGAAGATTTTGAATTCGAAGGCTGAATCGGAGTTGGAGTTGAAGATTGAGTTCACACCGGATCCCATCATGGAATCGAAGCTGGAATCGAAGGCGAAACTGAAAGTGGAATCGAAGGCGAAGGTGGAATCGAAGCCTGAGCAGAAGCCAAAGATGGAAACGAAGGTCGAACAAAAGGCGAAAGTGCCATCGAAGGTGGAATCGAAGGTGGAATCGAAGATCGATTCGAAGGTGGAATCGAAGCCAGTATCGAAAGTGGAACCAAAAGTGGAACCAAAAGTGGAACTCAAGAACGACTCTAAAGTGGAATCGAAAGTGGAATCTAAAGTGGAACCTAAGGTTGAATCGAAGGTTGAATCAAAGGTTGAATCAAAGGTTGAATCAAAGGTTGAATCGAAGCCAGAATCCAAAGTGGAACCCAAGAACGACTCCAAAGTGGAACCAAAAGTGGAATCTAAAGTGGAACCAAAAGTGGAACCTAAAGTGGAATCTAAAGTGGAACCGAAAGTGGAACCGAAAGTGGAACCCAAGATCGACTCTAAAGTGGAACCGAAAGTAGAACCAAAAATTGAGCCCAAGCCGGATTCCAAGCCGGATTCCAAGCTTTCCTCGAAGCCAGTATCGCGTTCCAGCTCTCGCCTCTCCTCCAAGCCTGTTTCCAAGCCTGTTTCCAAGCCAGACGCGTCTCTCAGCTCCGCCAAGCAGTCCCCGGACGCGCCTTCTCTCCGTTCCTCCTCGCGTCCCTCCGCGCGCGCTCCCAAGCCCTCCAACCCCTCTCTCCGCTCCTCCTCGCGCCACGACCCCAAGCCGCTCCCCGCGGTTCCCTCGGCCTCCCCCGCGGCCACCGCTGCGCTCCCTCCGAGCCAACCCGCGGTTCAGCTTCGCGCCGTGCCTGCAAGAGACGCTTCGCGGATGTCGCCGCTTTCTTTCTCTCCGTCCCTCATCGATTCCCTGCCCCCCGCCGTCGACGTCGCCCTCCCCTCCGCGGGGAAGCGCCTCTTCGACCCGCCCGGACCCGCGGGACCCGCGGGACCCGCCGAGGCCCCGCCCGGGATTTTCCCGCATCTCTGCGCGTCGGACGCGCGGCCGTCGCCCGCGTCGCGGTCCGACACACCCGCTGCGCGTCGTCCCGCACAGTACCCGCTCTATTCGCAGCCTCTCTCGCCGAACGCGGCGGAGTTCTGCGTGGCCGCGCAGCCCAAAGAAAACTACACGGTTCCGTCCATGTTTGCGGGGCAGGGAATGGTGCAGCAGTCCCGCGGGTCCATGAGCGGGTCCATGGGCGGGTCCATGAGCGGGTCCATGGGCGTTGCACCGTGGACGGAGAATTTGTACACGCCGTACGAGCAGCCGATGCGGACGTACGACTTCGTGAACTACCCGTATTCGGATATGCCGTACTTTGGATATCCGTACCGCGAGATGGATCACGTGCATCGACCCTATCATCCCATGGATGACTACGACGGGCTCGGCTATATGAACATGTCCTACACGCCCAGCACCATGCGCGGCAATCGGTCGGAGGGATTGGGGCCGCATTCCTACGGAGGGAACTCCCTGCTGCCCTCCGGGCTGGTGGACAATCCACATAACTCCATCTACTTCGATAGCCGCATGAATGATCCGCGGCTCATGGAGACGCTGCTCTCCGAGGGCAACGACCCCATCCCCGACGATTATGAAGACGTGCCGCTCACGCTGCGCGACCCCGACAACATTGTGTTCCCTCCCTCACGCTCGCCCTCCGTTCCTCGGACCTATCCTCGCATGAACGACGGACTGGGATCGCTGCCTTCGGACAATAGCCGCTATGGAAGCTACAACATGCGTCGCGATCCAAGTGGCGGATTCTACCCCATGCACACTTCGTATTCAAGAACCATGGATGATTCAACCCATCGATTCTGCTGTGTTTCTTCGAACAAACAATCCGTTCTTTCCACTGCCAAGTAAAATACATGCATAATGTCTTCCTCCTTTTCTTCTTGAAGATGGTCCGGTTCTCTCACACTAAATAGATATTAGTAATTAAGCATTTGGTTATGTGGGAATTAGCCACTATAACACACCAAGGAATCACTGAATCTTTCCTCCAGTGTTTATGACCTTCGCTTCCTAGAAACAGGAACTTAGGTTGGAATAACTGGAGAAAAGCGGTCATGCATCACTGCATCCTGGCTTAATGTGCAATGACATAAATCTTTCCATAGAATCAGAGTCGATCATATGGGGAAAGAAATTGTAATCATCCCACAAATCTCTATCAGGAGAATAACACAGTAGTTAGCAATCATGGATCATGCTAGAAGGTTTTCATCATACAGATTATTCAAAACATAGAGTGGTCATGCATCACTGCATCCTGGCTTAATGTGCAATGACATGAATCTTTCCATAGAATCAGAGTCGATCATATGGGGAAAGAAATTGTAATCATCCCACAAAACAATCAAAGAACACAAATCCACAAAGAAATGGATTCAATTCATACCTATCTCTCTCTCTTTCTATTACAGAGTAGTGATTCAAGAATGATGACATTTAGCAACACTCTCTTCACATCTCAATCATTCTATACATATTGGTTAGTTAAAGGAAGAGCAACGTTACAAAAGCGAAACTCTCGAGTACAAATCAATCAATCTGTCGCACAATCCTTGGATAGCAAACCACAGAAAGATTACCATCCTACACATTGGCGAGCAATCGCACATAATAATCACAACCACAAAAATCTCAGAGATTCTAACTCCGCAGCACTATCTGCTCAATGGAACAGATATCCCTAGGAGTGGTGGTAACATTTTCATCCTCGATACAAACACAATACACTCGTTACAAGATTCAGTACATCCAGTTATAATCAGTTGCCCTTGGCATCTTAAGACCGTCGTAGATGTAGCTCATCACATCTCGTACACTCAAACACTCAATCAATCAATCACTCGAGTTTCGCATATCATATGATCACTCCACTTACCTGAATAGAAATAGAAATATGGTTTGTTGTTTCTTGTATGAAACTTTGACTCCAACCCAATCCAATCCCAATCACACTTCTCCAATGAACGGGAAACAAATGTCTTCAGTACTACTTAAGCTACAAATTGTAAGACTATATCCACTATGGTTTTTCCAAATAGATCAAGGCTGCAGAGCAACTCATCCGGATCAGGAATATAGTGGCAGGGCAGGAGCAAGCTTGCGCAAGCTCAACCGTCCATAACTCTAGGATTTTCTTGCTGCCTGAGACTTCACTGAGCGGTAGTCAGACTACCTTCCATGGCGTGCAAGAGCGGGAGTCACTGTGAAGGTCATTTCGCAACAACCGACACACTTCGTCTCCGCCGAATCCAATATAGCAAGAAGCGCTCCAACCTAGACGATTAGTATATACACCAACACCAGAGGTGATTGTATCAGCAATCAACAGCCACTAACCAAGTATTGTTGGGAACACTCTTGCACAATTATTTGCATTCCTGCCAACAATGACAGAAACGTGGTTAATCATGCATCGCATGAGCAGCAAAATGCATTGCCATGAAATACACACCATTATTGCAACACTATTGTTACTGTCCGTTACAACATCCATTTCAGTAAGTTGCATACCTCATCACCAACATTATGCCTGGGGCGGCAACGTATCATCATATGGAAGAAAGACACATCCTCATATACAGAACACACACTTACCATTCGCCTCGATAAACTGGATTAAGTCAGTGGTTCGATCCAACAGAAATGCAGGATCATGGCAAGAAATGCCATTCTTACACCTCTTTAGGCAAAAAGAAGAACTACAAACTGTGAGTGTATAGTCCTCTGGAAGGCGAAACAACCACTAGAGCCATTCCAATAACCAGAAAAGCAATCAATTTTGTCGTGTTTCGGCTCACAAAAACCATAAAGTCTGGTCATCATGATTCCTATAACGACAACATCTAGCTTCGCCCATTTCCCAAAAGTACAACCAGAAACCCAACTTACATAGATAGAAACGAAATAAGCAATTAGATCAATTCATAGCAGATTCTACTAAGAAAAGCAGATCCTCCAGTTTAGAAAGATAAACTTTATATGAAAAGCAATCTCTGGTTCAGAATGCAATGGCAAAAATAAAATTCGATTAAGCCTGCTCTATATTCATGTAATGCAATGGTAAAAATAATTGAATTTGGAATACTCTACATTCTAGAAGCTTATCATACACAAAAGGAATTAAATCTGATTTTAGAAAACAAGAGAATCCATGTTCAGTGAAGAAAAACGAAAGCAGGAATGGGACTTGAACATTCGTCGTTCGCATTTACAGAGCAGTCACAAACCACTGAGCCAAAATTGAGATATCTCTCCTTAACAAACCACAATTTGAAATACATATCGTTCTAGTCCATTCAATATCTCCATAATTCTCCATCGTTATGGTGAAAGACCAGAAAAAGGTGAATGTACGCCTATTTCTCATGGATAAAGCAATAGGAAAAGGAGGCGAAAGCCGGAGGTGCCGCTCCAAAGGAAAATGGGAAGAGCTCTGCCGTGAATAAAAAGGGAAAAGTAGTGCAGTGTGTCTGGGAGTGACGTATAGATCATGGTTGAGTGTAAGTTTGGTTCCAAGTGCACAAAGGGGGCAAAATGCCGCTTTTTGCACAGCAAAGTAGGTGGAATGTGCATCTGGAGTGATGAGCTAGAAGACGGAGAAGAAGGAGATGACCAAGCAGGAAGCCAAGCAAGAACAGAAGAAAATGAAACTGGAGAAGAAGATGAGAAAACCCGACGGAGAGCTGGTTTTTAAAGTAGCAGGAGCGAATTCCGGGATGAGTTGTAGGCGAAGGAGATTTGGAACCGCTTGCGTCTAACGGACATCCCCAAGGAGGAAAGAGAAGTATTGGTTCTGAAGCTCATGAAGCTGCTCTCTGGAAAGATCGTGGACATTTGCCTGAAGCACGATGGAAGCCGTATCATCCAGTCATTGTACAAGTACGGAACTCCCGAGCAGCGCAGCTCCATCACAAAAGTACTTATTTGTATCCTCTTTGATGATTAGGAACTGCTTCGCTCTGTGGTTACGATCAGCAAAACGAAGCACGGCCACTTCTTAGTGGAGTCCATGCTGCGCTACAGCTCGAAGGAGGACGTCAACGCGTTCTTAGAGGCGATCAACGGCAAGCTGCAGTCGATGTGCACTCACCAGATGGCCTCCGTGGGCGTTTTCTGCCTCATTGACTTGTAGCATGTGATTGAATACTTGTACGAGCATGTCTTGACGGCTCGGCAGAGTTTCCTGCTGTTCGAAGAGCTGTACCACCGCCAGTACGTGAATTTGAAGGACACGGAAAGCAAGACGGCGAAGGACATCATCGAGAAGAATATGCTGCTGAAGGAGAAAATCTACGCGAACCTGCTCGTGGTGATCTCGAAGCTGGTTGGCCTCCGTCCTGATCGTAATCCGTAGGTCAGCAAAGCGATGCTGGATAACTCGTATGCTCATAAGATTCTTTATGACTACATCACAATCGCGGATCCTCGCCGCATTATGATGCTGATGAACCAGGTGGACACGGCGTTCCCCGCGCTTTCGACGACCGCTTGGGGCGCTCGTTTCATCGTGGAGGGTCTGAACTATTGCAACAACAAGGTGCTGGTTAGCGCTGGAGCTGAGATGTAGAACAAGCGAAAGATCGTTCACTCGTATAAGACGATCATGGTGGACACGGCGATCCATATCTTCGGGTAGAAATAGAAAGGCCATGTGATGTGTAGATATGAAGTGATTATCAAGCTGCTCTATTCTGTGGATGATCTGGTGATGTTGAACTCGATCTTTACCGAACTGAAGGCTGGATTCAGTCGAATGCTGCATTCTTCTTTTGTAGAGAGTTTCGAAGGTGGGTCATGTGTAGGGTTGCCGTGTGTTGTTGGCTGTGCTTTGTCCCAGTATTGGTGCGAGAACGAGCTAATCCCTAGAGAACCACACGTATTTCAATGAGATGGGTCTGTTCGAAGTGCCCACGTTCACGATCATGAACGAGAAGGGCGAGAAGGAAGAAGTGAAAACTGCTAAGCGAGACTATTCGAAGCGAGTTGAAGAATTGCAGAAGCATATGTTGCTAAGCGTGGGATCGAGGGATCGAGGTGAAGTGTAGAGCGCGATTCTTGCTGAGTTGCCAGTGCTGATTACGGATAACAACGCGGTGAACGTGATTCTGGAATGTAGGAAAGGGATTGTGCGGTGAGGTGTAGACTTGATGTTCTGCGATGAAGAGAAGCGCAAAGAGCTGCTTAAGGCAATTTGTGAGGTCGTGAAGAAAACGCTGGAGGACCCCACGCGTCCTCTCTCAGCTGATTTGAGCGAAGCGGAGCCCGTGCCTCAGGCAAAGGAGGAAGTTATGGAGGAAGAAGAAGAAGAGGAGGAGGAGGGTGAAGAAGAAGAAGAGCAGGGTGAAGAAGAAGAGAAGGTAGAAGAGCAGGAAGAGGGTGAAGAGAACGAGGAAGAAGGAGAAGAAGAGAACGAGGAAGAAGAAGAAGAAGGAGAGAACGAGGAAGAGGCAGAGGCAGAGGCGGAGGAAAATCCGATGGAAGAAGAAGAGGCAGAGCCGGAGCCGGAGATGACGTACGGCGAAGTGTGGAAGAGCCAGGCCTGGACAGTCTTCTGGAAGCGTTTGATTGCCGCTCTTGACAACTCGGAGAGCAGCGATTTGCTCGAAAAGGAAATCATTACCCCCTTGAAGAGTTCCTTCTTGCCGCTCCTCGAGAGATACCCGGAGTCTCTCTTCCTCGCTCGCAAGCTTCTGAAGACGAAGAATGCTTCGCAGCAGATGAAGCAAGTGCTGAAGCCGAACCAGTCAGCTCTCTCTAAACTGTTTGCCTCGGGAGATTACAAGGGCTATGACGATGTGATGCAGATGTTGAAAGCAAAGTAAGTTGTTTAGGATCTGTTTGTTTCCACACCAAATAAGCTTTTGGATCTCTCTTTGCACATAGCGGTCTATTTATATACTCAAGCAGTGGAATGCTTTCAACGAGCACGTTTGCCCGAGTGGTCTAAGGGGGTGGATTCAAGTCCCACTGTACGGAGTACTCGTGGGTTCAAATCCCACAGCGTGCATTTTTATTCCTCGATCAAACCTCAAAAAACCATTCTGTAGTTTGAAGTATGCTTTTTTTACCTCGCAGCAGTTATCAATAGGAAGCAGTATGTCGCTTTCTGAAGGTTATCAGTTCTTCCTCTATCTAAACGATGGGTCGAGACGTTACGGATACGCATTGAAGAATGGGTTATTTTGAGATTGTTAATTTGATGTTTTTAGCGAGATCAAGCTACAGAGGAAGCATTACCCAATTTCGGACTTAGTTGGACATCGCTATGGAACCGTATTCGAAGTCCAAGGAAAGCACCTCGTTCCGGTCAATGAGCCTCTCATTCCTGTGGATGTTGCTGATGGTATGCCCATAATTCGGAGATTGACTTGTAGTGGACGTCAACGACGAGAACGATAACCGGGAACTGGTGGATGACATAAAACACCAAACTCTGCAACAAGAAGATATCGAAAGAATGCGCAAAGAAGGAGTAAGCGGCCACGCCATTCTGCAGGAGTTGGCTTCGAGCAGTGTCACGTTTGACGGCAAGACGGATTTCTCGAAGAAGAAATACCTGAAAAAGAAGTCCGAGAAGTACATTCTGCGCTGCATGCTCGTCGAAGCGAACGCGCAGACGGTGTGTGAGCAGCAGTACATGAAGAACCCAGTGAAGCTGAAGTAGGTTCGCGAGGCCGCTGGGACGTAGCTATCTGCGCTTCGACACGCTGGCCTACATGCTCTCCCTGGCGAACATCCACCCCGGCCAGAAGGTGATGGTGTTCGACGACTGCATGGGCATCGTGGTGGGGAGCATCATGGAGCGACTGGGCGGGTACGGGCTGGTCTTCGCGGTGAACAACCACGACAACCGGATTCCGTGCTATGACTGCGTGAATCGGCTGAACTTCAATGTGGTGTGCGATCAGAACGACTATCAAATCGACAAGGAGAACAAGTACGAAGAGCCTTCCTTCGCCCCGGAGCCGCGCGACCTCACGCTCGCCGACTACACCGCCAACATTCGCAACACGCTTCTCATCTGGCACCTCTCCGATCTCCTGCAGATCCGTCCCATCGACCACGCCTCCCAGCCCGTTCGGGACGATTCCCCGCTTCCTCTCCCGCTGCCGCTCCCCGCGCCGCGCACCATCCATCTCCCCACCAAGATGTTCCACACCCGAACCGATCTTCCCATGGTCCACAAGGACGGCACCGCGCTCCGCGACGCTGAGCTCATCGCCATCTATAAAAAGCGGCTGGACCGTCTCTTGCGGGAGCGCTGGCAGCCAACGCTGGACGAGCAGCGCGAAATGCTTCGCCGAGGCGTGAACAGCCTCGTGGTGGCCTCGAACAACCCGCTGGAAGAAGTGCCGCTGTTGTTGCCGTATCTGCAGCCTTCGGGCGTTCTCGTCGTTTACTCGCAGTACCAAGCCCTCCTGGCCGAGCTATTCGCCGGACTCAAACGAAGCGGACAGTGGGTGGATATTTCGATGAGTGAGAACTTTATGCGTAAATACCAGGTGCTTCCGATGCGGACGCACCCGTACATGAATATGTTTAACAACAGTGGGTTTGTTCTGACAGCAACGCGCGTGTTGAATCCAAATAGTCCGATGGAGTCAAAGGACATGGCGGGCATCCGCACAGGAGCCACGATGGCTTCAACCTTGCGAAGGAAGAAATTGAAGTTAATGTGATATGCTATACTCTTTGTTGGAAAACAGGTGCCTCAATAGCTCAGTCGGTAGAGCACTCGCTTAGTAAGCGAAAGGTCAGGAGTTCGATCCTCCTTTGAGGCTTTTTGTTTTACAATTCTCATCTCGGGCAATTCATAATTTAACAATCCATTTGTGAGTGTGATTCGCTTTTATGGAAGATTCTGTTCTTTCTATTGATTTTGGGACTAGTTATACGGTTTGTTGCTTTTATAGAACAGGCAACTGTGAATTCTGTTCTACCGACAATGGGCAGCATACAATACCATCTATTATCAGCTTTGACCCGGATGTTAGTTATGGAATTGATGATGGAAAGAGTGTCTTACATCATTTGAAAATGTTAATTGGAGAAAACTTTGAATCCTTAAATAATAGCGATGTAGATCAAAAAATATTTGGCATGGCTTTGGTTGAAAAGGAAGATGGAATCGAGGTTATAAACGGTGATAAGTCTTATAGTGTTCCATATCTTATAACTGGATTCATCCAATGTATCAAGGAGGATGGAGAGAAACAAGCCGGACGTGATTTCAAAGATGTCGTCATTACCGTTCCTGCCCGATTTACTCAAAGACAGCGATCTATATATATAAAAGCAGTTGAAAAAGCCGGTTTGAGAGTTGTAAAGTTGATCAATGAGCCGACTGCAGCAGTATTTGAGCTCCTTTCGAAGTATGAGAGTATAAGGAATGATGTAGTTTTGGTTTATGACCTGGGAGGAGGTACCTTTGATTGCAGTTTGGTTCAAGTGGAAGATGCCAAAACTATTACTGTTTTGTTTAGTGATGGTTCAAATGAGATTGGTTGTGAGAGATTTGATGAATTAGTGTTGGAATATATAATTAAAGAGATCGAAAAAAAGGGATTGAAGTGTAAGGACCGTGCAAAATGTCGACGGAGTTATAGCAGTGTACTTAAAGATATCAGGAATGCAAAAGAATCGATTTCTAAACGTTCTGTTGATATTGATGTGAGCAAGATCATTTCCGGCTGTCCGGAGTTTCAAGTTACGATTACAGAAACTGTCTTATATGGAATTCTCGAACCTAAAATCAAAGAAACTTTGAAAATCGTGGATAACATGCTTGCTAAAGTAAAGATGGAGAAATCAGCGATTGGTTACGTTGCTCTGATTGGTGGAGGAAGTCTTCTGCCCATTGTGAAAAAGTGCGTTACTTCGAGCTTTCAAGAAAGCAGAGTAATCGATACGGCCAATCCGAAGGAAATCGTGGCAAAGGGCGCTCTGAAGAGCTACCTCCAGCACGATATCACCATCAAAAGTGTAACATATTATAACTACAGCTTGGAGCTGTACAATGGAAAGTGCTACACGATCATTCCGAGAGGGACGCCCATCCCGATGGACAAGCCGCTACGGAAGAGGTTCATGCCCGAGCGTTCTGGACAGGTGAAAGTGGAGACAGCGTTCTATCAAGGGTTGAGCGATAATAGTAGTGAGAATCAGCTTGTGAAAAAAATCGAATTTGATATTTCGAAGTTAAAGGGCTCGAAATATTTCTATATTGAGTTATATGTGGATGGAAGAGACATGATTAGTATAAAAGCCTATGAGAATGAACCAGGTGATATTTTGTATGAGAATGAAGTTAGCATACCATAATTTTGTTGTTTGTTGTAGATGTATGTTATTTTGAAGGCAACTGATGGGCCATACACAGGGAAAAGCAAACAAATACTCCTTACGGCTCCTAATTATCAGTGCCTTTTTGGACGTACTGTTCCAGATAGTAGATATTGATTTGTTGAGTGACTGTGATAGCTGAGTTTTTGCTGGACCAAGATCCTGAAATAAGCGGACATCACGCTACATTTCTTTGGGATTTGCAGGAAGATTGCCTAAAGATTCGTGATGAGGGTAGCTTTAACGGCACCGCCCTAAATTTTAAAATGTTGAAAAAGGGCGTGCTCTACCCCGTAAAGAGTGGTAGCAGTCTATTTGCTGGAAAATCAAAGTTTATTATAACAATCCGCGATCAAGAAACCGACAACTCCAAAGATGGTCCGAATGACAAGGAAGCGACTTGTATCGTCAAAGACTGCTACTGTCCGATCTGCTTCAAAGACCTGAGTCGCATGTCCGAGATCGGTCGCACGCAGCATGTCAACCATTGCATCCCCGAACCCTCGCGCACTCCTTCCCGCAGCGACGCGTTGTCCAAAGCGTCTTCCCTTCTCCGCCACCCTGACTACGAGTACCTTTTCCTTTCCTTTCCTCTCTCCCCCAGCTCCCTGTCTGTCGACGCGCTCCATTCCCTCAAGAAGCGTATGGAGGACATCCGAGCCAAACTCGAAGTTTTTCTCTCCTTCTCTCCCTTCATTTCCTCGTAGCTCGACTACCAAGCCCTCCAAGCCGTCTATTACCGAAAACGCGCGGCAAACATGCTTTCCCGCCCCTCTCCTCCCCCCGCCAATCCGGTCAACCCGGTCAATCTCGCAGAGCGCTCCAGAATCGCGGGGCAGATTTTCTCGCAGGACATGTGTGTCGTCGCGCACGGAACCGCGCCTTCGGGGTTGCAGGCGCAGCTGACCGGGGGTTTCTGCACGTACAGTGATTCATTGTAGCCATCCCGGACGCATCGCAGATGGATTTCACCGCGGGGATGCGCGGTTCGGTGAATCAGGGAAACGGGGTACCGCGCGCACAGCAGGAGAATCCCGCGGTTTTCAGCGAGGAGAGTGACGATAGTTTGGTGGAGAATGAAACGCCCAGCAAGATTCGGCGCGTCACAATGCCGGCACAATCGCGGGGAATCGCTCATGTGACGCCGCGACGCTCGAGTATTGTGGTCTCGCCGTCCAAATCGGCGGTGAAATCGACAGCATTAGCCACTCCTTCATCGCAGACATCGCAGACATCGCAGACATCGCAGACATCGCAGACATTAGCGACATCACAACCTTCACGACTCTCTGCACAGGAGCGACTGCAGAGGCTGCAGTTTTATATGAAACAAATTCCGAAGGGATTGGAAGCCATCCCGGAGAGCGAGATTCAGACACATGTGAAATCACTCCTGAGCCAGACGGTTCAGGAGATCAAAGAAACGCAGGAAAGCCTGAGCGACCAGCTGATGACAGCAGATCCATCGCGCCGCGAACTCATTGATTTCCTCCTGGTCGTCACGAACGACATTATTGCAGAATTGGAGACAATCCGGCCTGCTGAGAATCGGAGGATGAGCTTAAGGGAGGAATCGATGAGAACTCCCGTGAAATCGCCTAGGCGTGCAGTTTCGATGGCAGTCGGCAAGAAGCCGGTGAGCAGCAGCAAGGAAGACAGATCCGATGCTTCGCAGCAAGTTCTGCAGGCAATCGAGAAAAATCCGACCTTGTCCTATGAAGTTCGAGCCAAGCAGATAATATTATTTGACCGCGTGGTGTCCTGTGTTCAAAGCTACTGAAATTGGTGAATTGTAGGTTCGAAAGTGTTTTCCCACCATTGATGCCGAAACGATCGCTTCCGTACTGGATAAGGAAGGAGTTCGCTACGTGCGATCCAAGAACTGAAGTTGTGTTTTCATTTTCCATTTTTGTTTTTGTTTGTTAGCACAATGATAAAGATGAATGAATTACTACGACTTCCGCGGTTATTTCCTCTCTTTCTGTTTGAATTCAAGAAGCTTTCAGATACATTTGAGGGTACTCATTTTTCAAGATCGTAATAACGTTTAGTTTTTTGCTACTCACTAACGAATAATGGAAGCTGTTCCTGTCGAAAACCAGGTACCCGCCCAAACTGTAAGAGCAGGGATGCCTAATCAGCCTGCGTGAGTAAAGGGTGGAAAAGGCTTATTCCTAGTGCTTTCGCATCAGTGTCTGCTCCCGCAATCCCCGCGAACACAATTGTATCTGTACCGGCGCAGATGCATTCGGGAGTGCAGGGACTCTCGATTCCCACGAACCTGAGCAGAGTAACATTGTTGTTATCCCTGTTCATTTTAAGGATCCAAAGATTGCACGCGCACCCACAACGCAGGAAGAGGAAGAAGAAGAAGACGAATACCAGGAGGAGGTCGGTGATGAGGAGGAGGAATGGCATTCTGAGGAAGAAGTCCCTGTCTGCGTTTTTCGGCTTCTTCACTCCTAGAAACAGCGAAAACGCAGCCGAAAATCCGCGATGGAGGACAGCGAAGATGATGACTACGGCCGCATCAAGCGTCGAAAGCCTCTCATCGAGAAGAAGCCGGCGCGCCGCAGCGTTCCGTTGAACGAATCGGCCGGCATGAAAGCCCTCCGCGCGTACACGTCTGCGTTGAAGCTAGGGTAGCGTCGAATGGCTCGAAATGTTGTGCAGGCCGCGCTGCTTCCGCAATTTGAATAAAATCAGCAACGCCAAGGACCGCGAGGCCGAGCTCATCGCGCGCCTGCACAGCTACGACCGCGTGTGGGCGGGGGAGTATCCGAGCGAGGCGGAAATCGCGCAGGCGCGCGAGGAAACGCGGAGAAAGAAGGCAGAGAAGGCGCGCGAGTTCATCATCGATGAAGAGCCGGGGGTGCGAACGACGCGGAAGGCGGCTCAGAAAGCGCGCGATTTCGTAAAGACGCTGGGAAACGAAGCGGAAGGAGAGGGAGAAGACGAGATGGTGGAGGATGAAGATGTGGAGGCGCCGTTGGAGGAGGAGGAAGAAGAAGAATCGAGAGATGAGGAGTAAGAAGAAAATGGAACGAATCGAGAACCTTTTCGATATCTTTTGTAGTGTCATTGCTTGTGCAATGTTTGTTAGAATTTGTTTGTTTGTGGATTTGGAATGCAAATGGAAGCGAACGTAGTGGACACGGGGAGTTCCTCGTGCACGATATCGATTATGCTAACGTTTAATGCGGTACTTAATCTTTGCTTTCCGCTTTCGTTCCTATGGATTTGCTTCCAGAGACTAAAGTTCAAGCTGAGCTATCCGGGGGCGCTATGGATTTTTGTACGCCTCGCTTCTTCGATTTCGATGTGTAGTGCAACTGCATTCTAGCTGTCACTTTGTTTTTTGTCATGGTCGGCTTCACGTTCCGAAACTTTCGAAATAACGTCGTATGGAAGTACGCTTCGATCCTCACTTTCATCTAGGCGGATCTCCGCGATTAATACATTCTCGTTCCTCCTTTTGCTTGGATTGCAGCTCTCTCTCATGATTATGGGGAGTGTCAAGTTTGCAGCGTGGAGTCATCAGCCCGTCCACGCTTTCCACAGCGTGTATCTCGTCTATTTCATTCTGAACTGGTGCTCCTTCGCCGCTATCGTCATCGTCACCTCCATCTGCATCCTCGTCGAGCGCCATCAGCGCCATCGCTCCCTCGCCCTTCTTTCTGACCCTTCTGCTTCTTCCTCCTCTTCCTCCTCCTCCTCCTGCTGTTGTTCTTCCTGCTGCGATTGCTGCTGTCCCTGCTGTCCTTGCTGTCCTTGCTGCGGGTCCAGCGGCCCAAACAGCGGCGACGTCGCCGGCAGTCCGCAGCGGGAATGCTGCGGCCGCTGCCATCGCTGCTGTTTGGGCCGCGAGCTCGACACGCAGCGCCAGCGCATCAACAACTCGTGCTGCTGCGATGGGTGCTGTCCGTGCTGCATCGACTGCTGCATCGACTGCTGCGGCGAGCAGGCCGTGGCGCTCCCGGAGAATCTCGCCGACAGCGACGTCGTCCTCGTGGCGCCCAACCACCGCGTGATTTACGCGCCCGACCCCGACGCTCCCGTCACGCTCTCCAACGACCAGCCCGTGCCCATCGCCGAGCTCGCCGGCGTCGGGAGCGCCGACCGCCATTTTGTGTACCAGCAAGACCAGAGGATATGACTCCTAGACCTGCGGTCTTCTACTCGGACGTGGCGGCGACGACGGTAGCGCTGCGCGCGGATGCTGACGTGTAGCCCAATTCCAAGACCCCGCTGTACCTTGTCCCCTCGGACATCCCCAACCAGCAGACCCTGTTCGCGTCGACGATGGCGCCGGTCGTTCCCTTGAACCAGGTGAACACCGCCAATCCGTCGCTTCCCTACGTTATGATTGATGGGGTTCGCTACGTCATGCGACAACCCACGAACTGAAGAGCTGACGATCGTATCGCTTCGAATTGCAAGGAACTGTTGTGGCTGTAGCAGTAGCAGTAGCAATAGTAGTAAATCAATAAATCAATTAATAATACTGTTGGTTGAAACAAACAAACTCTGAGACAGCATTGAAGTGTACTTACAACAACACATACATCATTATAACCCTCAAGTACTCCTCCACCAATAACATCCATATTATCGTTAATGCTGTACGCAGGGGAAAGTGCGGTACAAGTGATTCAGCGGACCCTGCTTTCCCTTTCCCACATGGAGGAATCGACTCGCCACTACCGCTTCGTTCACGTATTTCTTCGCAGCACGCACAGCCTCCAGCAAGGGCTTACCGTGCGAGAGCTCCGCGGCAATGGACGACGCAAGAGTACATCCAGTGCCGTGAGTATTGCGAGAATTGATGTAGGGAACCATGAAAAGTTCGCAGTCCCCGTTCTCTCCGTAACAAAGCACGTCGCAGGCTTCGTCGGTTCCTTCCATGCGGCCTCCCTTCACGTACACGTTCGGGCAGCCGAGCTTGCGAAGTTCGCGGGCTGCCTCCTTGATTCCTTCCACGGTGTGGGGAATCGAACGCTCCAGGAGAACCTCGGCCTCATAGAAATTGGGAGTGATGATCAGAGCCAGGGGAATCAGCTCCTGTCTCACCACAGGAATCGCATCGTCCAGCATGATTCGGTTACCGCTTCGGCAGACCATGCAAGGATCCACCACGAGCGTCTTGACGTTGTACTGCTTCAGTTTCTCCGCCACCAAATGCACAGCCTCCTTGGTGCCCAGCATTCCGGTCTTCACACAGTCCATCCGGAAGTCCTGCATCACCGAGTCGATCTGCTCGCCGATCCAGTCCAGAGGGCAGAAGTAGATGTGCTGAGCGCCGCGCGTGTTCTGCGCAGTCAGAGCGGTGAACACCGTCACGGTGTACGAGCCAAGAGCCGCGCAAGCCTTCATATCCGCTTGCATTCCAGCACCACCGCCCGAATCGCTTCCAGCGATAATGAGCGTGGTGGGTATCGTGTCAAAGTGCTGTCGAGGATAGAACGCAGAACCCATCAACGCCATGCCCACTTCGAAGATGTGATCCACGAAGAAAACAGTATCCTTCGGGAGATCACACAGTTCATACGCCATCGCCGTCAGCAGGCGACGTACCTTCAGGCCAAACTTCTCTACAGCGGTAATTTCGCTTGCAGAAGGAGCGACCAACACAGGCAGCGTAGTCTTCAGAAGTTGAGGCAAGGAGTCGAAGGAGCCGTAACCCAAGGAAGGTTCATCACTCTCCGAAAAGTCCTTCAGGTCCACGACCGTCTTTCCGTACTCCACGCTCATTTCCTTGACCTTCGAATTCCACTCTTCCATACATTTGCACTCTTGCATCTCGCGCTTGGGCAAGTTCTGCACAAAGGCAGCCAGTCCTTCTCGATCCACCTTTCCATCGCTCACATGCGAGCACTCCACTTCCACGTCGCTGTGGCACACGCAGCCACTGGCCACCTTGAAGATCTTGGTCGTGGGCAGAGCGTACACATGGCTCTGTTGGTTGAAGAACTCGAATTCCAGACGCATCGCTTCCGAGTAGTAAAAGCGCGCCGATTCCTTCTTATCTTCAGTCAGCACGGCGTCGAGCATATCCTCCAGAATCTTCGTCGATGCCTGAACGCTGGGATCCGAGTAGACATTGATCCACTCCGAGTACTCGTGGTTGTGGTCGGGGATGGATCGCTTGATCTCCTGGCCAATGAACTGGTACAGCTTGCTGCACGGCAGGATCGCAGCGATGATATCAGACAAGCTTCCTTCGGTGTAAGCCTTCGTGAGAAGATCCGTGTAACCCTTCGTAGCACGCAAGATCTCCGGCTGCTCGATCTTCTCTCCACGAGCCTCCGCACGCTCCTGGTGCTTCGTCTTCTCACCCACAATACCGCTAATCAACCCAATAAACGTCTTCTCATACTCCTCCAAGCCTAGGGAGTGGCAAACCTCCGCCGCCTTTCGGTAGGCCTTCTCGTACACACTAGAAATTAACCGCCATTCACAACCCCTACTCCAAGTAGAACGAATCCTGCTGGATGTACTCTACAAACGCCTTCTTGGGCAGATTTCCGTTCGCCAAACCGGAGACAAAAGGGTTGTAACTAGCAATGAAAAACACGACAAACAAATTACAGAGACGCAAGAGCGTCGACATAATAATCATTACCAAGCTGCTGACTGAATTTCATGAGTAAAAACGAAAGAAATAATGACAAAACACTATTACCTCATGGTTCCATCTTTCTCCATTCAATTTCCACCATTATTCCCGCGATTGTGACATGCCATTATTCTTCGATCATGCACTCAGGAAAGAACGAATCATTATGCTTCTGGAATGATTCCCGACTTAGCCATACCCAGGAAAAGCACAAAACGCTATATTTGTAATTATTCCCATCAGAATAGAAATATGACTACGCCTTGTTAGGAGCACCTTAGACGAAAACAGCATAGCGAAAAATAGATGACTGAGGAGCAAAACCGAAATCCAAACAAAATGATGTCGAATAAGCTCTTTATCTGCATAATATGTTTCTTTGTTATGGGAATTGTTTATGCAGCAGCGCAGATGATCTTTGTGTGTATTAGTGAGTTTGCTTATGGATAGTTAATTCCGCAATTGAGGAACACGGAACTTTCCAACGCCCCCTTTAGATCCCAAACAACAATGGAGAGTACGGGTCCGATTCGTCCAAATCTCATTACACGATGGACAAAGTTTCAAGCGCAAGAACATCCTGAAAAGTATGACATGGATGATGGGATTGTTGTTTTGGCGGGAGCATCCAGGAAGAAGCCCAAAACTAATCTTCGAAAGGGAGTCGAGCAAGAATTGTATAGCGACAGCATTGTGGTAGAGACGGAAAAGAAGAAGCAAGATCAAGTCAGTATTCAAGAACCGGCCAACAAATCCTTCCATCCACGTGTAAAAGTGGAATTGTTTTTGGAGAGTCTGTGCCCTGACACCTACCGATTTGTGAAAGGCCCGTTAAGCAAGGTGGCTCACGATCCTTATATTATGGATGTGATAGATCTCCAAATATATGTTTCCGGAAAGTCAACCCAGATCTCGCAAGACCCTCCTCAGTTCAACTGTCAGCATGGTCCTGCGGAGTGTTATGGCAACTTGGTAGAGAACTGTATCATTCGCCATACGACGTCAGGTGACGCGGTGGACGTGATGATCTGTCTCTATGAGCGAAGAAAGTTCGACGAGAACAGCCTTAGTATTTGCAGTAAGAACTTGGAAGATCCGCGAGGCGTGCGAGATGCAGTAATGGAGTGTATTAAAGGAGAGGGGAAGTTCTTGATTCAGAAAGCTTACGACCGAACGCCCAAGTTGGGTTATGTCCCTTCGATGCGTATCAACAAAGGTGCGATTGTGCCTGCCTCTACCAATTTAAAGGATGTGATTTGCAATGCTTGGACTGGAGAGAAGCCTCCAACTTGCACATAAGCTTTGTACTATGAACGGGAAAGGAGAGAACGATTGTAAGCAATGTGCCATGCAGTTTTAATGCTGTTCTTTTGGTTTTTGATGTCTTTGTGGAACAAACAATGACATGTGTGTTGGATAGAGGTGATCAGTTCAATGGGAATGAGGAATCACTTCATTGGGAACAAACACCCTCTCCACTCGTTTCACAACAAACAATCACCCATTTTGAAACAACCGAGATTAGATACAGTAGAGATTGCGATCCACCTCCTTCGGGAACGGCTGCACCTCAATGTCCAGCTCCTGCTCGATGGTGAAGAACACCTCTTTGTCCTTGTCCGTGATAAAGTTCACAGCGAGTCCCAGATGTCCGTACCTTCCCGATCGTCCAATGCGGTGCAGATACGTCTCCGAGCTCTGCGGGAGATCGAAATTGATCACCACGTTCACCGTCGTCACGTTGAGTCCTCGCGCCAGCAGGTCCGTGCACACCAAATGGCGCGCCGCGCCCTGCGAGAAGTTGTGGAAGACCTTGTTTCGGTCGTCCTGCTCCATCCGCGAGTGGATGTAATAGCAACTGTATCCCAGATCGATGATCTTCTTCGCCAGCAGCTCCACGCGCGCCACGCTGTTGCAGAAAATGATCGACTGGTTCACTTCCAGCTTCGAGAACAGCGTGTGCAGCGCGTTCACCTTCTGACGCTCCTCCAAATACACATAGTACTGCGTGATGCCCTTCAGCGTCAGCTCGTTCATCGTGTTGATCATCACCGGCTCGTGCATGTATTCCGCGGCGAAGCTTCGCACCGTGCTGGGGAACGTCGCGGAGAGAAGCAGCGTCTGGTGCTCAGCAGGGAGGAAGGCGATGAGGTCCTCCACCACTTGGCGGAAGTTGTCAGAAAGCATCTTGTCCGCTTCGTCCAAAACCAAATATTTGCAGTGGCTCAGATCGCAGTGGCCGCGACGCGTGATGTCTAAAATACGCGCGGCTGTGCCGACCAGAACGTGAACGCCACGGCGGAGACGATAGAGGTCGTCTGCCAGTCGCTGGCCGCCAAAGCAACACATAGAGTCCACTTTCAATGCCTTGCCAAACTCACGGACCACGCGGCTGGTCTGGAGAGCAAGTTCACGCGCAGGAACCAGAATAAGAACTGAAAAGTCAACAGAAACGCAAAATGAGGTACCTTGGATAACTCGCTCTTTGGGGTCGATTTGATTCATACAGGGAATCACATACGCACCGGTCTTTCCTGTTCCGTTCTTTGAGCGGGCAAGAATGTCTTTTCCAGAAAGAATGGAAGGAATTGTCTGTGACTGAACAGGAGATGGCTTTTCCCATCCCTTCTCACACAGCACACTCATAATCTCTTCTTTCAGCCCATACTTCTCAAAATCCTCTCCTTCTATAGGTTTCACATCCTACATACATAAAAGAAATCCAGAATCCGATTTACGTCTGTTTTAACTCTATTATCGTTTCTAGGATCGATTGGTCGGTATTTGGAAAAGTCTAGCAGTTTATTTTTCAGTATATGAAGTACTTTGATTCTCAGGAGTATTCATTAGTGTATGCGTATAAAAAACAGTAGAAAACAACAAAAATGAGTAGAAAATAGGAAATTCCGATGTGGAGTTATTATGATGAACATAACCGAAAATGCACGGCTGAATTTGGACCTACCAAATCAATCTCTTTTGTCATTATTAGTGGTAGTAAAAAAGCAAGATTATATTGAATTGCTAATCAAGCGTATAGCTTATTTCTTTTGCAAAGTAAATGTCGCGATTACTTACATTACGAAAGTGTAGAATTGATATATGGAGCCTTAAAGAATATGGATGATCAAATCCAGAGCAGCCGATGTGTTTGTCAGTTAGCAAAAACCTTTCAGAGAACTATTCGATTACTAGAGTGTAGAAACGAGTGAACTACACAAAAATTACACGTAGAAAAGACTATTCGAATTGTTTTCCTTTATAGAAAGAGAGAATAACTCTATATTATTGGAATTACAATAATATGTCATATTAGATTCTTTTTTGATTTTTCAATGATCGATTCTATATAATTTATTGTATGAATAGGAAAGATACATGAAAGCGGAGTTGAATAGAGTTTAGGACATTTCGTCTATCATGTGGTGAGCAGGTTGTCCACTCATAAGAGATGGTCGAATTACTCACTACAGCTCACTACATAATCATGACCATTTCTTATAACGTGCTATTATTTGTTGCTTTTTCAGAGTAACCATATCAGTTAGTTTTCTAACAAAGTGCGATATATATTTAACCTTGGCTTCGTGAAAGCATCATTCCAGTAATACAATCATCTAATATTGAGTGTATTTCAAAATAACAAGTGGATGATGCATTTACTGTGCCTATATCCACTTTTTCATATTTGGTTATAATTCTTCATTGAACTGTACATATTTCATGTCGTTATGCATCTGGATAACACATTATCTCAACACACACCTCAAAGCTCTTTCCATTCCATAATGATTATATAATGCAACAACAATACAAAGTATAACATTTCAATTCTTTTACCACAAAGCATAATGCAAACAACACTGTAACAACTCTATTTTCTACATCAGAAAGTGTTCGAATATTAGTCCAACCGCTCCATTCCTTACAGCATTACCAGTTACACAATCATGATCATAAAATTACTTATTCTCATCAACTTAATATTCACTTTTGGACTAGCAGGTGAAGACAATGCTGTTCTTGTTTTTGCACGGAACTTTACTCTGTTTTTGCCTTCATTTCGTTTTTACCTGTAGTATTACTTGGAATATTATGTCCTGCATTTGCTTATTTTAAAACTGGTTCTTCTCCTTCTTTGAGGCAGTCCCGAGACACTTCAAACCTAATTTGTTCTGGAAGCTCTATGATTATTTTGAAGATGTCAAAAACGAATAGTAATTCAGAGGGTGAGTTCTGCCGCATCCTAACTTCCGGAGGTTTGGTGAAAGCTGAAATCGGACCAGGATCTTCGGGAGTCTCTACTGCATCTGTTTGTTTAGATCGAGGAAATTATTTTTTGCATTTATTGAGTTCCAATGGTGTCACTTGGAAGGATTCTTCAGTCGTTACGATTGAAATTACTGTTGGAAGTGACACCTATACAATTTTAAAATCGCGCCTTCAGGAAGGAACGGAGACACTCATTCCACTTAGTCTTTCCTTCCTAGTGTATGCTGCTGAGTTTGATACGACCAAAAAGTACTTGGCTGATGGAACCGTTCCATCAGGATGGGATGGTGAGAACTTTTCTCCGCTTTCGTGGTCAACTTATGATCCCTCTTCCCCTCCCACCATTTCGCAAGCCATTGTTTTCCTATACTCTTCGTTTTCCGTTTCTTCGAAGGCAGGATATGACTCAGTCGAGTTGCGCATTCGAGGAAACGCAGGAATCATTGCTGTGATCAATGGCCATGAAATCTACCGCACGAACCTCCCCTCTGGTCCACTTACAACGTCCACAAGAGCAACAAATGGAGCATCGACCCCTTTTGGGCGATCCATTCTGTGCTTAAGTTCTTTTTTGAAGCTTGGAAGTAACCATATCATCGTTGCCTTTGTCTCTGCTGCTGGCTTCACACCTTCCACTCTTCAATCGGATATGACTCTTCGTTTTGACTCTTCGAGTGGGTCCAATCCGCAGTACTGGGACATTACATCCTATGGCTCGAAGAACGATGGGTCTGCTCTTCTCGATCTGAATCCATCGACTTATTATTATGAATCTCGAAGTGGCTTTCTGAGTCAGAGCGTCACACTGACATTAGGAAACAATCGAATGATGTATGTTAACAAGTATTGCTTTGTCACGTCTCCTATGAATGAAGCATCCGATCCCACAGCATGGACTCTTTTCGGAATCAATTCTCAAGGCACCTACACAATCGACACCCAAGAAAACTGTCATTTCCAAGAGAGAAAAACGAAGTATTGCTTCTATCCTTTGCAGCAACTTTCTCTTTTCTCTACCTACCGCTTGACTCTAACGCAGAACGCCAATACTGAAATTGGGTCTTTTGCGCTAGCAGAATTCCAACTCCTCAACGCTGATCTCTCTCAGATCGAACTCCCTGCCTTGTCTTTCTCTCCATCTTCCCTTGATTTGATTACCGGCATTTCCTTCACCTCCCCAACAGTCTCCTCTCCCTACTACACCCGCTTCTCGATCTCTCCGCAACTTCCAGAAGGACTTTATCTCTCTTCGAATGATGGTCGTTTGCTGGGCGTCGCGCAGATCGAGAAAGAAGCAACGCAGTACACGATCACTGCCAAAACTCCGCAGGGAGGGGAGACACGAACGACGCTCACTCTGAAAGTCAGTGGATGTCCTGCTGGCAGTGTTCAGTTCCAGCTGCGCGTATCGTGCGTTTCGGATTGCTCGGATTGCTCGTTTCGATTGCTGCGAGATCCGGAGAACTCTCTCGTTTTCTCGCAGTCCGCGTTGAATCCCGGGACTTCCGTTCTCTCCTTCTGCGAGCCCTCGTCCCGCTATCGTTTGCAGCTCCAGCGCACCGACTCGACGGGCTGGAAGACCAACAGCATCGAAGCATTGATCGAATCGCAGTTTGCCATCGGGGCGTTTACGCTGCCGAGCGGTTCGACCACACGAAGCTTTCTGTTCGATCCCCGCCCCGCCGTCCCTAAAGATTCAACGTGGAAGTATTTCTTGGAGTACGCGCCCCCTCCTTCTTCGTGGAACACGCCCAACGGTTTCGTGGATTCCTGGTCGGAAGCGAAGCCGGGCAGCTTCCCCCAAGCCGACAGCGTGACGCAGTTCTACGCGATTCGGTTCACTGTCGAGTCGCCTTCCTTCATTCTGGGCCTTCGTCTCTCCGCCATGGTCTACGCAGGCGCGGTCCTCTATCTCAACGGCAAAGAATTAACGCGCGTGAACCTTCCCGATACGGACATCTCCGTCAGCACGCCCGCTATTACCTGGTTCCCCTCCCCCACGCTGATTTCGGTGAGCGAGTGGAGAGAGCTCGCCACCATCGAGCGAGAGAACGTCTTCGGCGTGGAGCTCCACACCACCGATTCCACCGAAGAAGTGCCCTCATTCTGGGGCATGGTGTCCATTATTTGGGAAGAATCGATGATGGCTTTCCGCGGATATGCGACCAGTGCTCCTGAATCCGTCACGCCCGCTTCCTACGCCTTCGACAACGATCCCACCACGTCCGTTTCGGTCTCGTCGACCTGTACAGACGCTACTCTCACGTGGACGATGACCAATCGAATGGAGCTGGTGAACACGTACGACATCCAGGCTCCGGCGAACTGCTCGCAGAACCTTCCGTCTTCCTGGGTCTTCGAGGGATCCCGAAACGGCTATTCCTGGACGTTTCTGCACATGATGAGCAACGAAACGTTCGCTCCGCTCCAGAAAAAGCGGTACATGTTCTATAATTCGCGGGCATTTTCGCAGTATCGCGTTCGCGCGCTGAGTTGCGGGTCGGATTCCGTTTGTCAGGGAGGCAATCTCCACTTTGGAGACCTGAGCCTGTCCCTCGCGAACGTTCAATTCAGCTGCTTCAGCACCACGTATCCTCCTGGACGGCTGGGAGAGAACGTGTATGTGAACTGCGAGCAGTACGCGGAGGGCTTCTTGATTTTGAAGTGCACGCAAAACGGATATGAGCTGGAAGCGAGCAAGTGCACGCCGTTGCCTCCCGGACAGTTTATTTACCCGGTCGATCTCTTAACGCTGTATCAAGGAGTCGCGATGGAGCCGCTGGTTCCGCTGGTTGAGTCGTGGGGACACATGATCACTGTGAATCCGCCGCTTCCTGAAGGAGTGACGATCGATCTCACGACGGGAATTATCCAGGGAACGCCGACATGGACGTCGTCGTATCAGGATTATGTGATTGAACTGAAGAATCCGAAGGGGAAGAAGCAGTTTACGATGGGGATTATTGTGATCAAGAAGAATAAGATCGATGCAACGCTGCTTCTTATTGAGTTGCTTTTGTTGGTGTTTGTGGGAGTGGCGATTTTGGTGTATTTCCGAATTACGAAAGCGCAGAAGCGGAAGTTGCCTCGTCGATAAGTTTGATTGGCTGCATTCTAGGAGAATGTGTTGTTGTTGTTGTTGTTGTTGTTGTTGCTGCTGCTGCTGCTGTACTGTTGCTACTGCTGCTGTTGCTTGTATTGGAAGATTGTTTGTTGGGAACAAGTGTTTCGAAAATGATCTTTCTCAACGCTATTAATATCAGTCAATCAATTTATCAATCCATTGAGATTCCAATCGATCCATGATTCAATCAAACAAAAAACATTCACCCAAACTAGATCTCAGCGCAATGGCACGTGCAATCATTCACTGGACATTCGCTATGTGTTTTAAACCAATTCGTTATATGCGAATAATGGCCTCCATGATGGCAAGAATAACACCACACCATCCAATCCGACGATTTCTGATACACTACGCGCCTCACAACCTTCCTCTTTGCTCACCTGGCAGCGCGCAGAGAGAGCAAGTGAACAGCGGCTGGCGACACACTTGACACACCGGCATCGACGCGCTCTGCGCTTTTCGCGTCATGGCGTTGGGGCTGTGCGGAATAATCTTCGCATGGCACTTGGGACACACGATAACTCTACGTTTCACTCCATATTCAATTCAAAACCCAGGAACGCAGCGCTCCGATAGCTTCTCTACGAACCGCACGTCCTCCTTATAGAACGAATAGAACAAGTTCTCGATCTCGCATCGCTCCGTAAACAGCTCCGCGTGGTCCAAAAGATCGAAATAGCTGCACTGAATTCAGCCGACAAAACATACTATTGAATCCAATATCCGCTGAAGTTGTAAACGCTTTTCTGCAGAAGCGAGAGAATCGTGACGGTCTGCACGTCGCCCGTTCGATTCACGTAGTTCTACTCGTTCAGAGAACCGCAAAAGCGAACTTGGAGCAGCGTTTGCATGGAGGGCGAGTTCATTCCAACGAGCGGAAGTCCGACGAGATAGCCTTTCGCAACGAGCTGGTTCACGATGTTGCACACTGCGGATCAATTAGGCTTCTTATTTGTACAGTAATCGATGAAAAAGGAAGGAGACATGTAGCGGAGAACGACGATAATGTCTTCGATGGAGAGAAGCTTTCGATTGCTCGTTATGTTCAGATACTCCTGAATCAAATTGTCGTTTTCTTTGACTCGGTAGGGATTGACGTCCGTCTCATACCGCAAATACAACAATAAAAACTGGAGCGTCTTGCTGATTGTCTGTGAGGCCGTTTTCCTGCTTGTTACACTCCATCGGCGCGATTACGAGAAATGATTGAGCTGCAATTCGATGTTGGAAGCGAGCAATTTCGTGTCGCCTTTCAAACTGAGAACGGCGGTGAGGATATTGCAGAGGACCAAAAGACGATCAATCACCGTGGAGGTGAAATCGTTCTGCTTCGAATTCACGAGAGAAGAGATGTAATAGTTGATAAACTGGATCGCTTCTTCGAATTTGCACTGCACTACGAGGATCAGAACGTGGCGAAAGCAGTCGCTTTTGTATTTCTACGATAAAAAACAACAACTCAAAACCGAACGCCTTGATACATCGAATACGCCTCCAACACCTTCTTCAGAATTCGCTCCTTCTCTTCCGCCTTGTACACAATAATCCGCCCGCACCTCTCCTCTACCCTCAACGATCTCCCTCGTTCCCACCCTGCGAATCACTCGAGAAGTTCTTAAAGATCGCGAACAAGCCCGTGTCCATCCAGCACGCTTCGTGGCTGTTTTTCACCGCTTGGAAGGGATCCGAAACCATCGAGCCGGCGCTCAGATTCTCTTCGTCCAGGGCGGAGATCGAGTGGTACAGACACCAGAAGAAAAACAGCTCGGTGTTTTCGTTGGAGTGCGTGGAGTGATATTGCTCCGCGAAAATCTCCATGTTTTTTGTCACCTAGGGGGGAGAAACGCGATCCAATTCGCACATCGGTGGAGTATTTTTGCTTGCATCGCTGAATCATCACGTCGTAAATATCGTCCTTGATCTCATCCTGCGTCTCCACGCATTCGATCTGATTCTTCCCGTTGGTAATACTATTCCTCATCGATTCGAACCGGACCCCACCAGAGTCGATGATGATTCACAAAGCTGATCGATCGGTACATCACCTGCGTCAGATACGTCCACGAAACCGACTGGTTCCCGCTCATATACGTCAAAATCCGCATGATGATCGGGTGTTCCATTTTATCGATCGCGCATTGCACCACCTTTCCTCCGGGGAAGGCGCACTGACTGGCCTTTCCGTTCGTTACGTTGATGATCCAGTACTGATAAGCGTCCGCCACGAAGAGTTCCTGCTTCGAAAACCAATCGATCTACCGATAAAACCCCGATCAATCGCCGACGTAGATCACGTTTGCCGATGGCTGCGAGAAAAACGCGACGGGCTCCAGTTTTCCGTTGCTGTCCACATCGTACACGGCCGAGTTTTTCTTCTCGATGGACGCCTTTAAGAGAAGGGAGCTGTCCGCGGTAGCGTCCTTCTTTCGCGATGAATTAACCGTATCGCGGTAGTCCAAACTCATCGTGCGTGTGGCTCGGTAGGGAAGAATCGATTCGAACTCCAGCTCGGTGAGATTGTGTCGATGCGACTGCGTCTTGGATTTCGACTTGGACTGCGACTGCGGTCCGGGCTGCGATTGCGACTGCAGGAGCGGCGGGAAGGAGGGCTGCGACTGCAGAGGGGATTGCGTTTGGAGAGGCGAGGGCGAGGGCGAGGAGAAGGAGATTTGGCTTTGGATGGGGCTCGGATTGGGCGTCGGATTGGAGAGCTGGCCAGGCACGGAGGTTTGGAGCTGGATGGGGACCGGGACGGGCGATTGGAGCTGGATGGGACTGGGGTTGGGGTTCTGGCTCGGACTCTGCGTTGCGTTTTGGCTCTGAATCTGGATCTGCACTTGGTTTTGGCTCGGCGTCGAATAACTGTACGCGGGGAAAGGGATCTCGGGGGCTGTGGAGTAGTTCGCGAGCGTTCCGGCAGACGGAGCTGGGTTGTCGTTCACGAAAGCGACGCGCGAATTCATCGTCGCGATGCACTTGTAGACTACGCTCAGCGAATACAGAAGCTGGTGGCTGGAGGAACTGGAGATCACGCATCGGCCAATCATCTACTTGATCGAAAAGACTTGAATGTAGTTATCAAACGCGGCGAGCAGGAAATCAGGAGCGATGTCGAAGCGTTCTCTCGGAGTCATCAGGCCTCTGTAGCCCGATTTGGGAGATGTGCGAGCGCTGTAGCTCCCCTTGCGGTCAATCCAGTGGAGAGAATGCAGCACGCGGGTTGTGCAGATCGTTCTACATCACATCCATTTTAGAAATCAGAACGGAATCACCATGGAGTGGTTTTGAACATCATAGATATCGATGCAATATGTCTTCTCGTCTCGCAAGAGCCCAATAGCGATCTACCACTCGGATCCATGTCCAATCCCGTACGTGATTCATGCTACGCCGCCAATTTAAGCTGATACAACGCAAAGATTGGGTATCATGAGTTTTCCTGCATACTTCTCCTTCAGTAAAGATTCCATCCCTGCACAAGCGAACCACTACGTCTCCTTAAAAATGAAATCCACTCTCCAAGTCTACCATTTGCAAGTCCCAGAGCTAAGTGGTTCTTATAAATTCCATATCCCCATTCCATACAAACCACAGAGTCGTTGAAATACTGAATGGAACCATGTTCGCGGTTTGGATCTCTTCTATGGAACTCTCCAGGTTTGTCCAGGGACGCAAAATTGCACAAGCTAAACAGAACAAATCAAAAATCAAAAAGTTACCACACCATCGTGGGGTTTTCACGATATACGATAGCAATGATTCCTGGGAATGAGTTAGACCATTTGATAATAGATATGTTTTGAACCATCGTGTTTTTCTGTGAAACAAGAAATACGTTCGCTTGAAGTTTGTAGTTTACAAAATAATGTTGAGTCAGTTTGGCCGAGCGGTTAAGGCGTCAGACTTGAAATCTGATGGGTTATACCCGCGCAGGTTCAAGTCCTGCAGCTGACGTTTTTATTTCTTTACTTCATTTTTATGGGGCAAGTTTTTGGGATTTGCTGCCTCCTGAGTTCCCTGCATTGCAACGTGGAGGAAGTCGTTGATTACATATCATTGTTTCCTCCTTATCCGCCTTTTTGTACTTCTCTGCTGTTTGTGTGCGAATCTAGACTATGTACGACCAAACGAAGAAGTACCCGTTATGTATTATGACCAAATGGGCGTGTACACAAAGGTGCCTGAGCCCATTTCCGTAATTTGTTTGCCTGTGAAGGATGACAAATCCATTTATGCTATACATTACAAATCAAATAGTGGAAAGTATCCTTTGCTGCGGAGTTTTGAGAGTAGACGTGCAATCTTGTATAGCCATGGAAACGCAATTGACTTAGGGCTCTGCATTGATGCCATACAGTTTTTGGGAGAGAAGCTTGATTCGGACATTTATTTTTACGATTATGAGGGTTATGGGTGTAACCAAGGGAGGGCCTGCGCAAAGTATCTTCCTCGTGACCTTCGCGCCTTGTATGATTATGTTCGAAAGTCTTTTGATGGAGAGAACATTTATTTTTATGGCGAATCAAGTGCGATATTCATTTCAATTCTAATTTGTAGTTGGAAGCGTTCCTTCCTGTTATGTCGCTCATCAGTTGTACGAGGAGCATATTGAGAAGCCGCTGTGTGGTGTGATTCTCCACGCATCGTTGTATTCAGGTAGAGTGCCTATAGTTTTTATGAGTGTAGGAAGTTCCTTTTCTTGCGGTTGCTTGATCCGCAAGTCAGATCCTTACAATAATGCGAAAATGATAAAAAACATTGAAGTAGAGTCTAGGTATGTGTGTGTAATCTAGTGCCCAATCTTCCATATCCATGGAGAGGAAGATGAGATTATTCCCTTCAAACTGGGAAAGAAGCTTTACAAGATGTCGAAATCGCCCTTTGAGCCGTGGTGGGTAAAGAATGCTGGCCATAGCGACATTGTGGTTCTCTATCCTGAGGAATACATCGCCAAGCTGCTCAAGTTTTTTGCTTTTTGCGAGGGAGAAGCGGCTCAGGAAGGTGCTGAGGAGCCAGTGAAGGAAGACGAGTTAAAGGAACCAATGAAGGAAACAACTGAGGAGGAGCCGGCAAAAGAAGCAACTGAGGAGGAGCCAGCGAAGGAAGGCGAGTTAAAGGAGCAAGAGCAACCACATGGAAGTGTGGCGAATGAGAGCAGTAGCACAGAACAAAAATAAACGTGTTGGAACAAACATGTTTGTTCATAGTACACAGAAAAGTAAAAGACTAGTTGTTATCACTCCAAATCTTTTCGCAATTGGCACAACGGTAGAAGGTGGTCATAGGCTCATCAGCAGACCGAATCTGGATCTGCTGGAAGTAGGCAACCTCGTGCTCGCAGTAAGGACAACGAGCTAACAATGAAAGCAACTTAAAAGACATACCAGCCGTCTTCGGCGCATTCTCCCACTGGGCAGCACCTCCCAGCACATCTTCCACCTCTTTACGCTTCAGGTCAAGACGAGAGGAAACCTAAAGTTCACGAAAAGCCTTGGCCTTACGATGCCGGTGACGTCGGCAACATAGGGGCATGTGCTACAGAAGAAGCGCAGATATCCAGTCTAAAAGTCAGTCAATGAAAACACGCAAACTCCCGTCTCCACCAACAACAGACACCCACACGTCGGGCAAAAATACATCTCTCGATTTCAGCAAGTAGTAGGAAATGGGCAAATTTGAGATTCAAAAGAAATAGACCCAAAATTGATGAGCGAGAGACAAAAAGATTGTCAAATTCGACAAAAAACAGCCCATATATTTCCCAGCCCCTAAAAACTTGAACTATTTTCCAATTAGAAATAGATGATGGAGCCTATCCTGTTTGTATATTTCTGTTCTCAGTGAGGCTGACTGTGTAGTTATTGTGTATACTGCCTGCATTCGTTTCTGCTTACAAGGCTTCTTTCGGCTCCTATGAATATGAGGGTTTGTCATTTACGTACAAGGGAATATATATGTTCGATAAAAAGGATGTATTTACTCTCTCGTATGATCTGCGCGCTGTATGATTATGTAGTGCAAACGGACCTTCAAAAATCATTTTTAATTACACAGCCGTGAATCTGAAGCCTAATTCGGAGGCTCAAGGAGAAATGGACGTTTGTGTTTTGTTAGGGGGTTGACGATGCAGGTTGCGATTGTGTCCGATTCTGTGTTTGAAAAGATTGGATACAAGGACGAAAATGGAAAGACTGTGCTGTGTTGTGACAGTCAAGCCGTTGAGGTAGGGCTTGGTGGCCTGTGTGAAGCGTAGAAAGGATACTGCATGAACCAGGGTCATATCCTTCTTCCTGCCAACGCAGAGTCGGAATACGTCAGTCAATCCCTTTCTTTGAAGTATGGGCTCCATTTTCGTTTCAACCTCTCAGGAAAAACAAAAACACCGGAATTCTCTCGTATGACGTGCAGAAGACAGGCATTTACTACGTCCTCGCAATCTCGTACCTCCGTTTCCCCCTTTCCACGATAGATGCGACTACCGTGCGGGTCTGATCCGTTTTTCGGGAGAGTACGAAGCAGTGAACCCGTACGGCCAACTGCCCGCCCCGCAGCACGGCCTGCTTCCGTTCACCTTCCTTCTCTTCGCGTGCTTCCTTCTGCTCCTTGTGTGGTGGGTGTATCTCTCGCTGAAGCACTCCAACGACGTGATGTCGGTGCACGTCATCATCCTGCTGGTGCTGATCTTCTTCGTGCTGGACCTGGGCGCGCGCTTCATCCACCTGGCGGCCTTCAACTTCGTGGGCCGTCCGCTGTTCATCCTGGTGCTCATCAGCATCGTGCTGGACTGCAGCACGCGCACGCTGACGCGGATTCTCACGCTGTTCGTGTGCATGGGGTAGGGATGAACGCGGACTGCCAGGATAGACTGGGCGTGACGAAGCAGAACCTCGACGACACGCTGATCACCTTCAAGTTCGTCGTCTTCGGCGTGGTCTACTACCTCATCACCTTCTGCGACTCCTATCTCACCGTCTACCCCACCACCAATCCCACCATCGAGGTGGCTCGCTTCGTCCTCACCTCTTCGTCGCGGTTTTTTCTCTCTTTCACCGTAGCATCGACGCCATCGCCTACTTCTGGATCTTCGTCTCCCTCATGGACACCATGGAGGTCCTCGCCGAGCGCAAGCAGGAGAAGAAGCTGGAGATCTTCACGCGGCTGCGCAACCTGCTGATCGTGGCGGTGGTGCTGGCGACGCTGACGCTGATCGGGTTTTCGAGCGTGGTTATTTTCGATCTCTCCGCCAAGATCTGGAAGTATCAGTGGCTGTGGGCTCGGCGTTGCGGAATGAGGCGTAGGATGAACCAGGGACTCTGGGATTTGTTCTATCTCTTGCTCATGGTGGCCATCATGATCATGTGGCTGCCCTCCGAAAACACGTCCGCTTACGCGTCGCACATCCAGATCGCCACGTCCGAGCAGACCGGCGAGGAGGAGATGCCTGTGGACTCGCTGGTGGATATGGAGCAGGAGGGAAGCCACATCGTGGAAGAGGCGTCATCTTCGATGAAGCCCATGCAGGTTATGGAGATTCAGCAAGAGTGATTTATTGTGTGCTCTGTTTGAGAGAAACATGAAAGTTGGGAAGAGAGAACGATAGTGTGTGTGTGTGTGTGTGTGTGTGTGGAAGAGAGAATGATGGTGTGTGTGGAAGAGAAAGCGATGGTTGATGGATAATCACTACTGCTGTTGTTCATCTTTTCTTTCATTGAATTAGAGTGGATTATTGTGTGCCTTTTGTAAGTCAACCACACACACTAAAGAGAAGGAACGTTATGGAATAGACATTCACTGCTGTTGTTATCTATCTCTCCTCTCATTGCAAAAAAACACGATTCATTCTATTTCCTGTATGCCTCAAACACTCCAAATAAACAAGAAAACGTTACTACGTGAACCATTGCCGTGGATCCAATCCCCACTTCGATTCAGCTTGCTTCGACACACTGGACAGGTCTGATTCGTTTCAAGCCACTGCGCGATGCAGGTCTCACAAAACACATGATCACACGGCAGTTTGGTCGGGTACTTCACCGTCTCCATGCAGATCGGACAACACGCGTTTCCCTCCTGCATGGCCTCCTGCACCGAGATTCGCTTGCCATACATCTACCCATCAAAACACGCTCCAACTCGCACCAGATTCGAAGTAAACAAAGAAATGATCATTTTGAAGAGTTTTACTCCATGGCGGAACAGAATCTGGGACTAGTCATTACGCCCTCTCTCTTCCCTTTTCCTACCTTTAAAATGCCGTACGCCAGCGTTACCGTCTCTGCAACCCAGTTATGCCCTTTGCTCTGCACATTAACAACACGCGATGCACCGACCAGAAAATACCCCGTCCAGACGAACGAATTGAAGAAATAGCGGTAGATTACCGAGCTTTCCTCCACAATCGCCAGCAACTTCCGCTACCCGTTAACCTGGCATCAGCATCATCTTCCGTACCTTCTTCTCATAAAAGATCTCCTTAGAAAGGCGGAACAGAGTCTGTGGGAGCAGAGCAACGCAGATTTTGGCTTCCAGAAACAGAATCTCCAACATGGGATCTAGAATTATGGAATTCCAAAAATCGGACCAAAAACAAAATAGGACATGAAGATGTTGCCTATCGAGGTCTGGACCGACGTGGAGAGTGTGGAATAGTTGTAGACGTATTCTGTTCCTCGCAGAATCCGCTCTGCCAAAAGACGACATACTATACAAACCATTAACAAAAAGATTAGCGATTTCCGATTGATGGTGTCCTGGAGTGAGAGGCAACAAAAATGGCCACTTTCATAGAGAATTCGGCGCGGAAGTACTCTTGAATATACGTTAGAGTACACCACAGTAAGAAGACAGACAAGATCCCTATGTTCGAACTAGTACTCTAACAGTGAAGTACATTTGTGCTCGAAGGCTATAATAAAAACGAACAGAATTCCTATCAAAGGGGCAACCTCGATCGTGTAAAGAATGCCTTCACTGGCTAACACGTCAGAAACCAATTCTTCGCCTACCGTTCGATAAGATATTGCTAATAGATATTGATACAACTCGACGACCTCTCGCAGCAGGAATGGTAGGGGTATTACCATTTGTAGCTTCATTTCCATTCTGGGCTGCCTGACGTTGACGCTCATTCTCATAAAGCTCGAGAATCCTCAGAAGTTGAGAACGCAATTCCTGCGCCTGCTCGTCACTTATAGTGCGAGGTGCACGCTCTCTCTGATTTGCTTGTTGTTCATCTGCTTGCAACAGCGGGATTTGCTCCAGATTATCTTCACTATCCGAAATATACACCTCCTCCTCCTCCTCCTCCGTACTAAAGGTCACAACATAATTTTAAAAGAACTCGGAAAGGTGCTCATAACCACAGGTAGAGCAAATTAAACTACTTGCGGAATTCAAGCTACCACAGCGGCTGCAACTCCATTGGTTGTTCATATGCCCGGGTTATGCAGACAACTAAGGTTAATTATGAGTTCTCAACCAATCGAGCCGTTTCGTTGCTGCAAACATTTCACAGGAATCACCTTTCCCACTCTCCAGATATAATATGTATTCCAACAAACACTCCTTCATTTCAATACATTCTAAGCATAAAGCTCGCAAGCTCGCTAGACAGCACACAACTCCTTTGTACTACACCTTATTTCTTCTTTAGTGCTGCTGCTTCTTGTACTCGAGCATCATGTGGTTATCGGGCTGCAGTCCGATGCAAGCGCGGAAGATGTTGATGATGCACTCTCTCTGCTTGGAGAGAGCGTTCACCACGGGGGTTCCGCGCGGCACTTCGGGCGCCTTGAGCAGATAGGAGAGAATGGAGAGGACGGAGTTGAATCGCTCGAATCCCTGGGATCCCTCGTAGGAGAGCGAGATTCGCTCGCACATCTCCGAGAGCACCACCAAATCGACCATCAGCGGCGCGGCCAGCAGCGAGTCCTCGCAGGTGTTGTGCATCGAAATGGTATTGATGCCGCCGTTGAAGATCTCCGAGGTGTACTCGTCCAGAGCGCGCTTGCTGTCGCCCACGAAGGGGATGTACTTGATCACGATCAGATGGTCGGGGTGCTCGTGGTTGGGGTAGAGAATGCCGTTCGAGGCCACCATGTCGTCCACCACGCCCGACTTGGAGATCTCCTTCGAGCGGAACTGCTGCGGCGAGGACAGGTTCTTCCCGTCGTTGTTGCCCAGGTGGTTGTACGAGGCGATCGACGCCGGCTTGATGCCCGCGCTCACCAGGTAGTCCACCAGCACCGACTTGATCTTCGTCTGGCCGCTCTTGAAGTCGTCGCCCGCAATGAACGTCTTGTGCTGCTCCGCCAGCTCGAACACGCCAGGAACGAACGTGTTCTGCGGAGAGCCGTTGATGTACGTGTTGCCCTCCAGAATGGCGGCCACCGCGAAGATCGTCGACGGAGCCACCTCCGAGTGGCTCTCGCGGATCGACTTCAGCAAGTTCTCCGCAGTGTCGTTCACGCCGGGGATGATTTCAGAGTAGCGCTCCGTGTTCGCCGTCCAGAGCACAATCACCTTGTCCAGGTGGTTCTCCTCCTTGAAACGGCGCATATCGGCGCGCACCGTGTCCAGATGGACTTGCTTGTCGTTGCCCGGAATCACGTTATCCGCGCGATCCTTCTGGTTGGCAGCGATGTAATCGGGATAGTAGATCGAGGGCAGGGGCTTGAAGTCCTTCATGTACGGGTACATGACCTGCTGGAAGTCGTAGTCGTACACACCAGCGCGCTTCATGGCGTCGCCCAAGTTCATAGAGCTAATGTCCCATCCACCAATCACCAAATCGTTGGGATTGACGAGCGGGAGAAGATTCTTGAAGGGAATGTAGAGATCCCCTCCGGGAACGGTACCAATCTTCACTGTAGAGCTCTGCGAGATCGACCCGTAGTAGTTCGGGTGCATCTCGCCCTTCTTCGTGTGCCAGGTAATCTGGTGCTTGTTGGCAAGAATTCCTGCAGTGACAGTGGTTCCATTGTTGCCACCCCAGCCAATGAGCATCATACCGACCTTCGGGATGCGGCGATCGGTCTTGAAAACGTACTTCTCGTCGCGAGGAGTCACGACGACTTGACCATTTTCAATCTTCGCTTCACTCGTATGGTAGACGTAGTCGGCAGTTATAGTGTCATCAGTGTAGGTGACGTTGGAAGCGTTGACAAGAATAGGAGAATCCGTATATTGATAAGCAGAGTTCATATATCGTGATGCTGACAGCCTGTTTCAAATAAATGTCCGTGTGCAAATTTAGATCTCCTTCTCAGAGACGATGCAAAATTGGGCATAAAATGAGAATCACACAAAGTTAGCCCCTTAACCCTATAATGTGTCTGTGTTCTTTTCTTCTAGAAACGACCCTAATACTCCCTTTTAATGGACCCTTATTATCCCGCACTGGTGATTCATTCGATGAACGAATTTTTTATACCAATCATCGCTCTAGAAATGCTCTCTGATAAAAAGGCAATAACCGCGACTTCATTAACCAAACTCGATATTGATAGCAGCTGCTTGTCCTTTTGCTAGGATTGAATCTGGGAAGATGCCACTCATCTCCAAAAATGAGATACTCTAAAACCTGTCAATTTGTCAAGCTAAGTAAGGTCTGAAGAATATCCAGATACTCGTACTGTCAGTCAGGATGCGTTTGGAAGCATTATAGCAATTTTTCACTTTCAAAAATATCTGATTCCACGTTTTTCTCGGGTTGGATCTTCTAGCGTACTTTTATCAAGACCCATCTGAATAAAGATTATGTACGCAGATATATCACTTTCATACAAATCCTTTTTATTATGTTCGGATTCAGTTTACGTGGTCTTGCAGAAGCTGCAATTAATACATTTACTGGCACAACAGGAAATGACGAGGAAATCGCGAAATTGGTGAAGGAGGCCGAAAGTCAGAATTCTTCCTTCTCGTGCATTTGCTGTATGGGTTGTAACGAATAGGAACCTAATTGCGATTACCAAGGAGTTAGAAAAGCAAGTGTTAATTTTCGCCGATACAAACAGCAGTATCCTCCGTCATATGGAGGCTCTTGAGGCGAGTGACGAAAAACGTGGAACCCCTGTTGATATCTGGGGAAAGGCGTCCAGGTTCTATTTTAGTGTTGGCAACGTGAAAGATCAATTGTATCCCGAAGTGGTAGGGCTGTTTCATGAGAGTTTACGAGCAGACTGGAAATATACAAACCATTCGTGCTGATATCGACAATCGGATCGAAGTACTGCATACGCTACAGACTCGGGTGTCTGAATTCAACCGAAAGAAGGCATCAATCACGGATGTTCGTTATTTGTTAAATATCAAATCCAGGACGAAGAGTTGCTGAGTCAGCTGAAGTCGCGCGAGCAAATCATCTCTGCTTATCAAAATGACCACAAAGAGATGTTGGAACAAACGCAGAAGCAGATCAGCGATGTTCGTTTCTATTCGCTCTTTTTATTGTGTAGTTGGGCAATTCGATCGCAGAGGCGAAGAAGAACATCGAAGAAGAGCGCGCCTCGCTCCTCAGTTCTCTGCAAGAGCTCATCGCGGACAACAAGCAGTTCGTTCAGAATTCTGTAACGAAGCTTTACGAGCTTTTCGTCTCCGTTTATTCCTCGATGTCCGCATCGTTCTCCGCCGAGATTCCCGCCGAGATCCTCTCTCTCCAAAACCCGCTCATTGCCAATCAATCCGATAAGGAATTCACGCTGAAACTGGGCGCTGGATCTGTTTACGAGCATCCTATCACGGTGACGGTGCGAATTGCAGGGATGGGTTAATGATCAGGCTGGAAGCGAGGTGAAGTGGTTATTCCTCTGCGACGACAGCAATGTGCACTTCTCAGTGATTCTGAACGCGGCGGGATCGAGCGAGGCGCGCGAGATCGAGAAGGAGCATCGAACGAAGGGAGACGGTCGCTTCGATGGGTAGAAACGTGGAAACGGAGTAAACTAGAGGGGAGTTCCGGAGCGAGGAGGCCGGTGTGCTGACGCTGGTGTGGGACAACACGCGGTCGCTGATAACGGGGAGGGAAATTCGAGTGCGGCTGGCGGTGAAACGTAGGGAAAAGGAACGAGGGAAGCGAGCTGTAGATCCGGCCAAAGTGGAAGAAGAAGTGAAGGAGGAGGAAGAAGAAGAAAAACCGAAAGAGGAAGAGGAAAAACCGAAAGAAGAAGAAGAAGAAGAAGTGAAGGAGGAGGTAAAACCGAAGGAAGAAGAAGAGAAACCTACAGCGGAGGAGGAGGAGAAGGAGGAGAAAAAAGTGATTACTGCAGCCCCAGAGAATGCTACAGCAACAGAGTGCATTGTTTGTTTGAAATAACAACTTGCGTTGAGTTTGGGATTTCCAGAAATTGGCCATACTGGTCTCGAATCTTTGATTCCGATTTTGTCATTTATCAGATAAGATAGAATGAATCTATCAAATTTATCTGACTTTTCAGATAGTCAGTTTGATGTATACAAATGGATTAACACGTCCATCGACCTTATGGGAAATACGGAAGATCTCGATTCTTTTTTGTCCGGATTGTCTATGAAGATCCAAGTATTGTCACAGGACTGTGGAGACAGCATTGAGTCGCAAATGTGCTCCCTACTCAACCGTCTCCCAGATATGGTAACACCGATTCGTTGTAAATCACGTACAGATGACAGAAGTCGTAGAATTGGAAGGAAAGATGGAGGTTCTGAAAAACGACATTAGGGAAATGAGTAATAAAACAAAAAGTCTGGAAAGAAATGCAGAAACCGAAGTGCTCTCTGATTTGAAAGTGATTCAAAATCGGATGAAAACATGCAAATGTCAGTTAGAAACGCTTATGGAGTGGGACCAGCTGTGCTCTTCGTGCCAAGATGCGCTCTCTAACCAAGACACAGAGGTACATCCTTTTCGAATTTCGCTCTGTAGATGGCTGCATCGATTATCGAGGACCTGATGCGTTCCATTCAGCTCCTCTCCGGCATTCCCAACCAGGAAGCCCGCCTGAGCACCATTCAGTCGTTCAACAAGGAACTGGAAGTGCAGCTTCTTCCCAAACTCGAATCGGCTCTGCAGTCGCGCAACGACACACAGCAGCTTCTAATCCACAAGATCTATTGCCATCTGGGTCTGGAGTCCAAATTCATCGAGGAGTTCTGCCACTTCCACTCCGCTTCCTTCGTTCAGTATTGCTTTTTCTGTTTCATTCATTCATTCAGAGTTTGGAAAAACTCGCAAGCCGAATCGGTGACCGACTCCATTCAGAACTTCTACACGAATCTGCACACATGGCTCCTCTCTCTCTCGGACGATTTAATCTCCATTTTCAGCGACAACGACGACAGTTTCTCTGTTTCCCCTTTGTAACCCACAGAAGCGATCCTCGCGCTGCTACGCGAAGGCTGCTCCAAAATCTCCGCCGATTTCTCGAGCAAGCTGGCGAGCATTCCGATCAAATCGTTCCAGCGAACGCTGGAGAGCGCGTACAGCTACATGGAGATCTTGGTGGCCGGCGTGAACAACCAGGAGACGAAAGAAGAGTGTCTGAAATGCCTGATCCAGGACTGGAAGCAGTTCATCGTCACGCATCTCATGGAGAACGAGTACAACGAGATCAATCAAATCCTCAACCAGTCCGTTATCACCGTACACGCGAGATCATCCTCTTTTGAAATAGGACGATCCCGACACGCTGCTTCCCGCGTTCACGCAGTCGTTCAGCGGCAGCATGCAGTCGCTTCTGCTGCTTCTCTCCTCGCTCCAGACCCACTGTAAAACCATCGGCAACGGGCTTCTTCTCCCCGATTATCTCGTCTATCTCAAGTACTTCCGTCCCTCTCCCTCCACGCATAGCAAGCTCTTCTCCAATCTCGCCAGTCGCTTCCAAACCGTCCTTGACCGCTACGCTTCTCTCCGTAAAATGGCCACCAAATCCCCGGTCCTCAACGACGCGGTCTCCTCGCTTTCTCCGCTCTCCGACGCTTCCTTCGACTGGGAATCCTTCCAAAGCGTCCTCTCCCTGCTTCTCTACCTCGACAATTTCCTTCTGGTGCTTCGCCAGAGCCACGCCTTCGTCCTCGACTTCCTCCAGACCCACCGCTCTCTCTTCTCCGACCTCGCGACCGGCGGCGACGGTCGCACGCCCGGAGACTCTTCGCTCTCTCTCTCCACGCTGCTTCTCATGATGCACAGCAGCGACTCGGCCTGGCGAACCTCCATTCTCTCTGTGGGAATCGCGAGTAGCCTCGATTTGTAGTGTCTGAGCGCGATCGACACGCTTCCGTCCGGCGTCATGCTGTCGCCCCTGCAGAGCAATTACACGGGACTGCTCGCCGTGATGAACCAGATGATCAGCTCGATTGTATCGACGGTTCTGGCTCCCGCGCAGCACACGTTCCGCCAGATGGCGTCGATGCCGCAGTGGGGCCGAATGGACTCGTCGTCCGTCCCGGCGCTTCCTTCAGAGTTGTGTTGTGTTGCAGCTGCGATGTAGTTTTATCATGCCCATCGGCGAGCATTTGCTGCGAATGGTCGAGCAGATCGAGCTGGTCGCGTCCTCCACCTCCGACTTGCTGCTCGCGTTCCGCGTGAACATCGCGACGGAGGCGCTGGAGGGCGAATGGCGCGACGTGCGCACCGAGATGGATCACTACGGCGAGCAGACCGAGAAAGCCGCGCTGCAACGCGCCGAAATGCCGCTCAAGAAGGGAATCGTGAGATGTGGAGCCTCGGACTCATCGCGTAGTGCGCTGGGTTCCAAGTGGAGAGCACGGCCAGCTCGGATTCGTTCGCGCTGTTCAGCCAAACGTTCCTGATTCTCATCGCTCGCGGTGGGAAGCGAGGATCGAGGCTCATTTGTAGTCGTCATTTCGTGCTATGTGGAGAATCTCTGCGGAATCCCTCGCATTAAATACTCCGGATCGCAGCAGCTCGCGAAGGATGTGGGGTAGGCGTGCTGTGGGGATGCAACGCAGTTATTTGTCGAACGTTCTCACCGCCTTCGGAGTCGGAAACTCCCAAGTGCTCTCTCTCCTCAAAACCCTCCTCGATCTGAGCGATCCAGGTGCGTGTATTCGTGGCAGTTCATGGAGTAGACTTCACGCAGCGACTCAGCGGCGTTTCGAGCAGTAGCAACAACGACGAAGCAATCATCACGCAACGCATCGCCAGACTGCGTAGCATATTGGCCTGTTCGAGTCTTTGTTGAACAAACAAGCAAACGTCTCATCCAATCTGTTCCAGTGTGCTCACACCGCTTACCAGATGGAGCTAGCAGAAGAAGCAATCTTGGGCCAAAGATCGGCAGCCTCCTTCGCCACAGGTCCAGTGATACCGGATCCCTTCATCTCTCCCTTGGGGTTCACGATCACACCAGCGTTATCTGCGAATTAACCGCACCACCCAAAAACGCACCCTCGAAGTACAGGAACATGCCGTTCTTTCTTCTCCAGGCCTTGCGCTGACGCACCACAACAGCGGGCATGACTAGACACATCAAACACGACAAATGCCAAATACCCTTCTTACGGAGCTCGGGCTTTCCCTTCTTGACAGAGGCAATGAACATATCTCCGGCAGCTAGCAGATTACGCAGATAACGCCAAGAACTTACAAGCAGCAGGAAGTCTATTAAGACGAGCACCAATACCATAGACCGAAATCACATACAGGTTCTTGGCACCAGTGTTATCGGCGCAGTTCATAATAGCTCCGGCAGGGAGACCAAGACTCATCTTGAACTTGTTTCCAGCAGCACCTCCACGTCCTACCTATGACTCCCCCTCCGCATTCAACATACCACGTTTAGCAGCCATATTGGATAAGAACTATGACCAAAAACTAATGGAGATTAATGGGATTGAAATTCCCTCAAAATCGTCAAATAACCGCGACTCTTATATCCCCTTTTATTCTTGTGATATTGTTCACTTTGTAAATACGAAAAACGGAATCTACACTTTCTTTATACCGAAGTATTCTTAAAGTGGTTGAGATGGGCTCTGAATGGTTATATGCACCCAAACTAGTATGATAATTTCTATAATCATATGGACACTTTGATCGTTATCACAAAAACAGTATGGATGAGTCTATCAATCTGTGTATGCTTTGAGAGTGACGTGTAATTACATTAGTAACGGTTGAAGCACATAAAACGGGGATAACACATTGTCTCCTCTGTAGTCCATCAGTAGAGTTGAGCGTGCTTCTTGAAGCCATAGGAAACAAAAATTTTGACAAGTGGGAGGAGTGATGTGATCAAGTTGTGGTCTCTCGAGAATCCAAATCCCCTCGCTGTATTGAACTCCTTTTTAAATTTACAGTAGGATTATTCGATCGATGGAAGTGATGTGGTTTCTTTGAGTTGCGATCTGAGAGAATTAAACTTTGCAGCAGGTTGTACTGACAATAAACTTCGCATATTCGACATTGAAATGAAAACTTGTGGATAGTGAGGAAAGCATGTGATCTTTTAGTGTTGCACAAAATTCATATCGATTCCGCTACGTGTAGTGCGTTATGTTTCATGGGAGATCATTATATCATTTGTGGTTTGTCAAACTACGAGATTCAAGTACAGATCATGGCTATAATTCAGTTTCAGGTGTTTGATCTTCGGCAAAAGCAGCTTGCAACGAGTCTGGCGGGTCACTCCTGCCCCATTCAATCACTCTTTCTCCTTCCAGATACCAATCAATTCGTTTCCTTTGATACATCCGGGATTCTCAACGTGCGCTATCCGTTGTGCTTTCCGACCTAGTTATGGGATCAGCGTAATGTCTCTCACTCTCTCCAGCTCTTGCTCCCTCCCTCCCCCGTGATTTGTCCCTTCGATTCCTCCGTCGCGACCTACGAGAACGGTTCTCTCTACCAAACCACTCTCACGGAGAACAGCACCGCCTTTGCGCTGAGTCCGGTACTCTTTTTCCCTTTTTTCTATTTCGATTTCCTTCTCTCCTTCTATTCTCACTTCCTTTTCTTCTTCTTCTTCTTCTTCATCATCTCACGCTCTCCTCGCCGCCGATTCCCACTCCCTCGCTCTCTTCGTCGCGCAGCACTGCACCGCGCAGTTCACCGGCTTCCACCACCTCGTTTCCGTGGGATCCCACGACCAATCCCTCCTCACTCCCCTCATCGAAACACTCCACTCCACGCTCCGCGTCCACGCGCTTCACCTCAACGTACGCCGTCTTGCCTCGTCTCTCCCAGCCCTTTCCGCTCTCCTCGCCTTCCTACCTCGCCGACGAGCAGAAGGACGTCATCCGCACGCTTCGCCATGCCGTCCATCCCGCGGATATCTCCGAGTTATCGCAGGACACCATCTTCGAGGAGACCTCGCCTTCCCTCATTCTCAGCGCCACCGACGAAGATTCCGTCGTCGTTAGCGACGAATCCCCGCCTCCGCTCACCGCGATTAAGCACCGCGTGGTCAAACCGCGGTTAAGCGTGCGTCTACGCGCCCCCGCGCCCAAACCACACGAAACGCCCGCCAAAGCGGTGGTTCCCCCGCGGAAATCGGTCGCTCTCACGTCACCGCTGGTCCCCGCGGTTTCCACGGTTTCCACGGTTTCCACGGTTCCTTCGGCTCGCGCGTCTGCGAAGGTGCAAATGAAACCGTCGAAGGGCGTTTCGAATCTGGAGCCAGCGGTGAAACTGCCGCCGAAGAAACCGCCGACTTCCATGAAACCGAACGGAACCGTTGGAGGGAGTAAAACGACGAATGTTCCACAGAATTCGACCAGTGTTCCACAGAATTCGATCAATGTTCCAAAGAATTCGACCAGTGTTCCAAAGAATTCGACCAGTGTTCCACAGAATTCGATCAATGTTTCAAAGAATTCGACCAGTGTTCCACAGAATTCGATCAATGTTCCACAGAATTCCACGACGAACATTCCATCGAATTCTTCGGCACCCGGTCCGCGGAATTCGCTGGTCGGACCGCGGGGCGCGTCGGGCGTTTCGGCGGCGAAGTTCATCGAAACGCTGCAGCGGCGACGCGAATTCGTTCGGAGGCTGCGCGAGGCGCGCGAGAAAGCGGGTGGGTGAGCAAACGCGGCGTGACGGAAGAGATCTGGACGGTGCTGCGGTCGGTGTCGGACCCGGTTCTGCTGATGAACGTGCTGCAGATGTGCGGAAGAGGACTGGTTCCGCGGGAAACGAGCGAGTGGAACGAGGCGTTCCGCTGCGTGAATTTGGGGTTGGAGAGTCGAAAAGAGCTGTGGAATGTTGGGGTGGAGAGTCATGAAAAGACCCATGCTGTTCGCTCTTCGGTTTTTGAAGTCGTTGTTGAAAGAGGAGAACCGGGAAGCGGACTACAGCGAGGTGGATCGGATTCGAATGGACTTGCTGAGCTTGGACGTGAATGGGATTCACTCCGACTTGCTGCGTCGCTATGTCGTGGATTGCCTCAATCTGCTCGAAGAAGAGTTGTACTAGTTGCGATCTGTTTGAGCCACAAACACGCCAATCACATAAGGCCTCATAAAAACATTGAATCAAGACGGGACTGATCGACTCTCCCCCCATCTGCCTTCGAATTACACAGAGCAACTCATTGATGCGGTCGATTCGCGATTTCGGAACATCGAACAGCAGATTGAGCAAAATGCGAACACACTCGAACGCATCCGGCCGATCCGCTGGGTTCGGAACTAAAATCTCGCGGATAAACTGTTTGTATTTCTCAGCATCTTCCCCTTACGCACTCTCCACATCCCTACAAACGCCTTCTGCGAATGAGTCGAAGCCAAACTCGCCTTCGAGGATCCTCGGAACGTTCGCTTCCTGGCCAATCAGCTACGACTCAACGCGATTCAACGCGATTACGGTGTACGCGAGAATGCCCAGACTCCACACGTCCGCTCTCGAGGAATCAATCACCGTCGAATCGAAGTATTGCTTGCCGAGCTCCGGAGCTCTACAAGGTTTACCGAGCCGATCTGGATCTACTTGAAGTGCTGGTTGCCCTTTGTGACGACCGGCGAATCAGAAACAACGTCGAATCCAAGGAAGCTCTCTCCAAAATCGATCAAGCAAATGTCCGAGATATCGTTGTTTCGTAACATGATGTTATCGGGTTTTAGGTCGTTGTGCACGATCTGGTACGCGAAACAGTGTTCCAGCACCAGACTGAGCCGCAGCAACACAAGCAAAGCGTCGTAATAGCCCAATCCGCACGGCGAATTCAGCTGTTTCAAGTAGCTATCGAGCGAGCAGCTCAGCTGTTCTGCGAAAAGATAGTACGTTTTCTCTTCCGAACTCGCCTCGGGCGAAGTGAGTCGCAACGGTCCTTCCTGAACTGAGTATTGCTGAACGAACGAGGCGTGGCGGAGATTAAAGCAGACTACAAAGTCGAACAAAAAGCTTTTCAAATAGTCGTCGGATTCGCAGGCTTGTCGCCAATCGATTTCCTGCAGAACGGACATGAAAGATCGCGACTGCGTGTGGCTATGCAGATACGGATGGATTCGTTTCACGATCAATCCGTCAGGAAAAGAAGCGTCCTTCCCTTGAATCTACGCGTGAAACGAGAGAAAAAAGGAGGACGGAGTACGCAGAGCACACAGCTCCGTTTCCAATCAGTGAAAGATTCACTTCAGAATTGATCGCGTTGGGTGGAATCGCGCGTTCTTTCTCAGAGAATACTGTCTCGTAGGTGTCTTGCTGCTCCCAATACAGCGCGCTTAACCGCGACAACGCGTTTTGGAGCGCGAGATCGCCCCCGATGACGCTTCCCAGATCTTTTCCAGAGAGCAATTCGCTGTGAAGCAGTCGAAAAGATTGCCCGGGATGGTTGAAAAGAACGCAGGGATACATCGAGCACGGCCGATTGTGAAGGGAATGCGTAATATGCACAGAGAACTATCGATGATTCCACGTTTCCACGGTCACAATTTCCGAATTGACGGAGAGAGTGAGGATTCCCAGCTCGAAATCGACCGTAAAGCGAAGGATGTGTCCCGGGTTGATAAAAACGGATGGCACCACGACGTTCTCGCAGCCCCCCACCATTTTCCCCTCGATTATGTCGTAATAGCACGCATTGGAGTCGTGTTCCGGATCATATTCATTGACTACCGCTCATTCCAAGCCCTCAACTCCCACGCGGACGGCAGCAAACGCCCACGCCGCCGATTCCGTTCTCTCCCACTTCGATGGTGATCGCCGCCGTTCCGTAGGAATAACCGCGGTCGGTGGTGAGCATGCGCGGCGTCTGCGTGGCCTCGAAGACGTCGTCGGTCTGGAGCACTCCGTTGAGGAAGGAAGGGAGGAATCGGAGAGGAGAAGGGACGGAGATGCGATCGCTCCACTTGACGACGGGGTTCAGCGAGGAGCAGGCGAGCGTGTAGATCGACATATCGAAGTTCGGCGTGGAGTCGGCGCGGATTTTCCACGCTATCCGTCATCTCCGCGCGTGAAGCAAACCGAAATAGGCGGACTCGACGTCCAGCGCGGTCTCGAAGAGCTTCTGATTCTCGGTGGAGAGCGACAACACGAGACAAGTCGGTGAGGACGAAAGCGTCATGACCACTTCGTTCATTGTAGAAAGCGATTTCCCGAAGAATCCCGCGTCCAGACTCTTAAAATCGGCCTGAATCTTGCCATCCACGCATCCAGCGACGACTTCTTTCACGTGGCTGAGATCAAAGCGCACGGATATCCACGCGTTCTCGCTGGTTCGCTTCAGCCCATACCCGCAAATGTAAATCTCGCTCTCGCTGGGGATCTCGATTCGCTCCGGCACCTCGCAGCTGCCCTCGCTCTCCTCGCTCTCGCTGCTTCGATTGCCCTCAAAGCACTGCGAGCTCGGCGCGTTCGGCATGCTGTGAATGCTGTGAATGCTGTGAATGCTGTGAATGCTGTGAATGCTATGAATGCTATGAATGCTGTGAATGCTGCGATTGCTCTGCATGCTGTGATAACTGGGCAATCCCAGACTGCCTTGACTGCCTTGACTGCCGTAACTGCTTCGACTGTTTCGACTGTTTCGACTGTTTCGACTGTTTCGACTGCCCTGGCTTCCCTGGCTTCCCTGGCTTCCCTGGCTTCCCTGGCTTCCCTGGCTTCCCTGGCTGCTTCTTCGAACGCGGCGGGCTCGCTGAGCGTCGGGGCTCTCCATGGAGATCTGGAAGCATTTGAAGGATAAGTAGTTCGATGTCGTGAACCCAACGTCTCCGCTGCCATAACAGAAAAAGCGGGGCGTGAGCTGAAAGTGAAAAATCGTCTTTTTGCTACTTCAAACTGAGAGAGGCAGTAGTTGAGAGGGTAACGGAGAGAAGTCCGGCTGTGCCGAAATCGACAAGGCAATGCTTTTAGTAGAACTATTCCTTACAGACACCGATTGGGAAAAACTCGGATGATAACTGTGAAAATCGAACAAAGAGGAGTTCTCGCTAATCGAAGGTATAGTACAAACGAGATCAGAAGACGGATCCACTTCAAAACACAACAGATCTGAACACTCAAACTGATTGCCGCAAAGAATGAATGAAATTGGCAAATTACTAGGAATAGGGCATATCGTACTCTATACATGACGTATCAACAGAAAACTCACCATGCCAAAACCATTCATCGAAACGGTAAGTTGTGAGCTATTCCACTCAATAAAACAAGTACAAGGAGCATCTAGAATCAAAAACAATCCGAGTTTCTACCAGTCTTATCAGGGAAAGGATGAACAGGAGAACGAACTCCATAAAGGACGAATTCCTTTCGAATCCTATAGGTGACTCATATTCATTGAAATCACAGATCAAACAAAACAAGGGAAGAAGTACCAACCAAAAAACCAATAAGAACAGAAGAATCCATGGAAAACATGCATCGAATGCCCACTTGAATATAAGAGTGCTTGACAGCAGGAGTAAAAACGGCATAGGAAATGCCGTTGTTTTCTACTCTGAAATGCAAAATTTGATCGATACTCTTCTTGCTGGTCTTGAATGAGTGGCCATTTCGATTGACACTGATATTACGTCTGTTACTCCCTATAAACGTATCTATCCATTATTCATCCCGAAATATAGAGACTGTGTGAAATGTCCATTCTACAGAACCAATTCTATAACAATTCTATAAAACATTATGGAATTATTGGTTGATGCGAAATATATAGTGACGTCATGCAGATTTCTAACGGTATTTTTGGGAAATTCGTTATGTGTGAAAGTCAATGCAGAAAAGATCATTTGAAAAATGGTTTTTGTTGCAAAGTAATTTATTATTTGTGACAATCATTGACTAAAACAAACGAAAATGTGATTCAAATGGGAGCAACTGTAGGATTTGAGAAGCAAATGATTCGTTTTTCATGACAGTAATTTGACGAAAACGCAGTGTTTACTGAATAGTGAAGGCGTATGTCCTTAGTACATGCAATACCTAGCAAATGAAACACTATTGCTCCGGTTTACAATGATTGTGTTGGAACACTTTATTATCAATATCTGTTAGCAAGCCTCAAATATATATATCAAACAACTCAATAAGCTATAAATTATACAGGAAACCTGTCAAGTTTGTTCTAACGAAGCTAAGATCGCAGTTTTTGTGTTTATTTCCCTCTCCAAATCTATTTCACACTTAGTAATAATGGTACCAACCACACAACGACAGCTTCATTGACTGAACCATCGCAATTATCTTCTGCACTTCTCTTCTTTCAGCTTCAATTTCACTTGCAGTATCCTTTTCAATTTTCTTCTGGATTGCAATCTATGTTACATCACATAGTCACTCCGAACCTGCTGATGTAGCTCCTGCTCTCTAGTACTCAATCGTTCTTTCTCTTGAGCAATTCTCTGCGCCGTAAGCCTGTGATATTCTTCCTGTTTATTCTTCCCGTCCGACGTAGTTTGTAGAAAAGACGATCTAATGAACAGAAATCCATTTTTGTACACGACCGTATCTAAACGCTGAATTCTGTCGTCTACTTCTTTCTCCTCCGTCTGAATTTGCTTGTCTAGCTTACACAGCATCTCTCTGCTAAGTCTAATTGATTCCAATTGGCTTGTTCTCTTACTCGATGGATACTTTGATCGAAACTAGCTCATCTCTGTCTTTTCTCTGAATCTCGGTCAGTGTTTTCTCGACTCGTTCGTTCTCTTGCTACCCAGTATTCCCTTGGATAGAGACTACTTGAATGATATTGATATCGAGTTCCGTTTTGGACAGTTGCTCGTCCACAGACTTGATTTGCTCTTGGATTACACTTCCTTCCTTATTCAAATTATCTAACTTACCGAGAAGCGATTGCACATCCATTTTTTGGGCAACTAAGATTTCCCTCGCAAGTTGAATAAGGTCGAGATTAGGAAACAATCCATTCTCTCACATAACCCACCACGGTAAAAGGAACAGAATACAAAGCACATTCTAACGACTGTTCGGAAGATAATGTTTCGGGTCTCTCAACAGTTTGCAAATACTGCTAGAGGTTTGTTTTTTACACCCAGAAGTGGTATTTTACTTTCTACGAGACTCTTTTCTGCACTTGTGGAACACCTTTGCTTCTTATCACCGTGTAGCCATTTAAGAATGGAAAATCTTCGTCTTTCAAGTCAAACCAAGCAAAAGGGCTGATGAAGGAGGATAGTTCACTCTTCAAATCTTTCGAGTACGCTGATTGCTATAAAATTCTATGTAGAATTTATGCAAATGGAGAGATTGTTCAGAAGATGTGCTCCATGTCAACTTTGATGACCGAATACGCTTTTCATGGCAGAGATTTTTTAGCAATTCATCCAGGAACTCATAGAACGACTCCCTGCATTTTAGCTCGTGATAAGGCCATTTTGATGAATCTCAACGCAGTTCGTTGTATTATCACAAGCGAATCAATGATTATATTCAATGTATCACCATTGCGCAGTTTCTGTCACCTAGATCGATAATCCCTTCATTTCGAAGATTTCTCGAGACATTGCAGACTATATCCGCGTCGGATCGAAGCGCTTTGGCGGAAGCTTTCCATTCGAGCTCCAAGCCCTTGAGGGAGCGTTAATCATCTACAGTGATCACCTATACAACAAGCTGGATTCATACCAGCACATGGCTCACAAACTTCTATACACATCTGACGATTACACGAACTTTGTATCCATCGAGAGTCTCATTAACTTCAGGACGTGTACCAGGAAATCCACCCATTAAAAGTTCGGCTCAGCCACTTGCAGGACAACACGGAAGCGATCGCTAATTGCATCCAGGAGATCATCTCGTCGGATGAGAACATGCTGGAGCTGTTGCTGACACAGAAGAATAAATTGGGCCATTTGCCACCCACAGAGATGCACTTGTCTGTGGAACTCCTCTTGGAGAACTATTACCGTAGAGTATCGTCCATGCGTTTGTTGAATGTAGTACTCGGATATATCGCGCCAGTGCGATACATTTATCGAGGATATTGAGGGGAAGCAGGAGTTAGCCGCCATCTCGATGGACAATTATCGAAACAAAATCTTGAACCTAAATTTAAATCTGAGCATTGCGCAAGTCTCTCTGGCATTTGGAACCTTTTTGACAGGAGCTTTTGGGATGAACTTGTTGTCAGGGATGGAAACTCTACCCTATGTGTTTTATCTTGTTGCAGGCATCGCGTGCGTTCTATCCTTCATAGTAAGACATAGAGTTGGTTCATGCGGCATGATGTACTCTTTCTTCCAGCTCCGCAACCGAACGATGAAGCAAAGTCCTTTAAAAAGAGAAAAAGCTGCGACTTATTTGTCAGGACTATTCCGAGGAATCGACAATTTTGATGTAGATCTTCACTCTATTCTGTGTCCTAGACCATTTTTATGGACTATTTATGTAACACGTTCCCAGCGGATCAAGACACCGTGCGAATGAGCGACTTTTTTAAAATTTCCAGCTCGATTTTGAAGAGGGAGCTAACGAATCAAGAAAAAGAGAAACTTCTGAGATTGGTGCCTTCTACGAGTATTATGTGCTTTGGGGTGTGAAATACAGATGGAATGGTGGAAAAGGTCCGCATCTTGTCTCTCATATATCGTGTCAGTGATCGTGCTTCTTAGTGTGATGTTTGTTTTATACATGTCTTTTGCATGCATTAAGCCAAACGAGGTCGATTAATAACGATTCTCATCACTTTTTAATGTCAATTGAACTATTTGTTTTCCTCTTCCGCGGTTTTTAGAAGTATTCGCCTTTCCTCATGACTTCAAGATTCAGCCAATCATTTGCAGATCGACATGTAAAAACAATTTTTATCATTTTGCTTTGATGAAGTTGATCGCTCTGCTTTTGGCTACTTTTGCTGGTAGTAAATATGTGTGAAATGTAATATGTAGTTTCATTTGCCATTGAGTGCGAGACCGGAATGGTCCCGATCTACATCAATCGTATCTTCAAGGGAAATGCATTTGAGGAAACCTTGCAGATTTGGGAAGGAGAGCCCAAAACGGGTACTTTGATGTATGAGAAGAATGGCCTCGACTTGGCAAATACTCAACAAAATTATGAGGTTTGCTTGAATAAAGCTCTTCATACTTTGGTTCTTTTGGATGCGTACGTAACATGACTTGTAATTGATGTGTAGTGGTGAAAATTATTGGACCCGTGACTCCTACATGACCATCTCGCAGGAAGGTGGTATCATGATTGGCCGCTATACGCTTAATAAATACTATCGCCGTGAGTTCAAGTTCCAGCCCCATTCCGTTATGGAGAAGGGTTCATCCTGGAAGTACTCGAGCACCTATGCTGAGAATTGGAACACGCAAGACTTTGATGATGCCGCTTGGTCCTCGGGTTCCTACTTCCCTGTCGCCAACACGGACGTTATCACTCGCTACTACCGCAAGACCGTTTCATTCGGTGATTTGGCAGGCTTTGCTTCCTTCGAATTGGCTGTGAACACAAACTACGGTATCGCCATGTACGTGAATGGACAAGAAATCTATCGCCACAACCTGCTTGCTGACGCTTCGGCCACCACTCCCGTGGAAGCAGAGGAGGAGGAGGCGTACTATCATCGTGCTTTTGCGAATCGCCACTTGCTCGACGGATCGGCTGTGCTGGCTGTGGAGATTCATTTCCCTGCTGATCACGCGCCCATCGTGGATCCGTTCAACGCGTTCGTGAATCTGGTGTACGGCAACTCGCACCGTACCTTCGATGGATCGGTGTCGGGAGATCATCTGGACGACTGGTGGGACGAATTGGGTGCGAATCTGTGGGACAACCAGCTGTGCAACAAGTGGTTCGTTGATGGCTTCCCTGCGCAGAACATCTACACGTTCAACAGCAATCGTGCGGAGTACGTGAACTACTACGCTATCACAACGGGTAATTATGACGGAAATCGTCGCCCCACGCAGTGGAAGCTGGAGGGAAGCAATGACGGAGCGAGCTGGGATTTGCTGGATGTGCAGTCCGGTATTTCCTGGAATGGATATGGACAGACAAAATACTTCGCCATTCCTCAAGTGGTGAAGGGATACAGAATGTTCAAGTGGACGCTGCAGGCTTCTTCCATGTATGAGGCCGAGACTTCGGATGTCTCGCTCTACGCTGTGGATCTGGAGATCGCTCCCAAGGAGATCTCCTACGGCAAGAACTTCGTGTTCTACCCTGGACAGGCCGTGAGTATTAATCCTGTCGCCAAGGGATTCTCCAGCTGGAGCATTAACCCCGCTCTCCCTAACGGCATGTCGATCAATCCCAACTCCGGTCTCATTTCGGGAACCGTGCCTTCGGGTGTGGAGGTGGCTCAGAAGACTTACACCGTGTCGGCTACGCTGGCGGGTGCGGAGGAACCTGTGACCGGCGAGCTCTCTATCAACTTCCATACCTGCTTGGGCAATGGATATCGTCGTGTGAAGATCGATGCGGTGAAGGGAAATCGCCGTGCTTCTCAGTACTATGAGATCGTGTCCAATGGAACTGTGGTGGAATCGGTGGTCTTGAACGATATTTATGGAAGCTACACAGAGAGTGATACGTCGTCGACCACCCAGACTAACTATTTCTGTCTGCCTGAAGGAAGCTATGAGATGGTCTTCTATACTTATAATGGAGTTGAGAAATGGGTGGACGGATCGTCCATCACGCTGAACACCTACACGCACACTGCGGCGAGCTTCTTCATTGGAGTGTATTCTGGAATGAGAAACGGCGATCGCATCACGTTCTCGAACAAGTTCTTGATTAACGGAGAGATGGACAAGTGGACTTATCTGGCTGACGGAACGGTGCCTGAGGGATGGAACACTGTGGAGTTCGGCGGTTCGTGGACGACTCTGACCGAAGGCAACACGGTGTCGCAGTCTGTGTGGCTGTTCCGCTCGACTGTGGAGATGGACACCATCCAGGGCTACAACAGCTACGAGCTGAACATGAACTGCCGTGCGGGTGTGGTTGTGTATCTGAACGGTGTTGAAGTGTACCGTGTGGGCGTGGAAGGAGAGGTGACTTCTGGAAGCACCTCCACGATCAATAGCAACAGCTTGAAGCCTCATGTGCTCGTCGGATTGGTGGGTGCCAACTACCTGAAGGAGGGAAGCAACGTGTTCGCTATTGCTGTTGTGAACAGAGATGCCACGGAGCGAGCCATTGACTTCACTGCCATGTTGACTCTGCGTGCGGCGACTGCCGATCTCGCCCATGGAACTCAGCTAACTTCCTCTGCCTCTGGCGGTACTGCTGGAAACGCTTTCAACGGAAACATCGCGAACAAGTGGAGCGCGGAGCTAAAGGGTTCCTTCCTCCAGTTCCAGTGGACGGATGCGCAGTATCGTCGTCAGCAAGTGAACAAGTTCTGCCTGGTGTCCGCTGCCAACGCTCCGGGTAACGAGCCTTCTGCGTTCACTGTGTCCACTCTGAACGGAGAGAACTGGACCCCTGTGGGAACCTACACGGGTGTGTACTGGACCGAGCGTGCTCAGCGCCAGTGCTTCTACCTCTCCGACCCTGTGGCCATCCAGGGCATGAAGCTCGAGTTCACCGCTGTGGCTGCACCCGAGAGTACCACCGTGGAGCTGGCTCTGTTCGATTTCCTGGAGGAGAACACGGACAAGGTTCTTCCCGATCTCTCCTTTTCTCCTGCTGCCACTGTCAGTGGAATCGTCAACGTCCCGATCGAGCCCATTGTTCCTGCCAATCCCTACTACGAGGAGTTCTCTGCGAGCCCCGCTCTGCCCGCTGGTCTGGAATTCGGAAGCAACGGAGCGATCTACGGAACTCCCACCGAGACCGCTTCGGGTGTGTACACGATCACCGGTATCTCGATCAACGGCGAGGCCTTCAACACCACTGTGGCCATTGATATTAAGCAGTGCATGGTAGACGAGTCTCTTATGTATGTCCACATCACCGACACTGGCTCGCGTGGTTATTACATGGGATACGAATTGGTGGATCCTGTTTCGGGCACTGTGGTGGGTAGCCGCAGCGAGTTCGACAACAACGCTTTGTACATGTATCATCCCTATTGCCTGGGTCTGCGCAACTATCAGATCACTATGAAGGATTACTCGCGTGTGGCTTGGCCGGGTAGCCTTGAGATTCTGACGGCCTCCAAGAAGGTTTTGACCTCGTTCACTGTGGGTGGAAGTGTGACTCCCAAGACGGAATCGTTCTTCCCTCGAGAGGGCTACAGCGATGATTTGGATTGGCGCTATCTGATGGACAACACCGATCCTGTTTCCAACTGGTACACGAGTTCGTTCAATGGCGAGTGGCATACTAGCAAGCTCGCCGATATGCCTGCTCCTCAGTACACTGCTGCCTACTACTGCACCACGTTCAATCTGTACTCGGCTCTGCCCTATGCCACCATGGATGTGACTGTGCACACGCGTGGAGGTTTCATTCTGTACATCGATGACGAGGAGAACGCTCGCTACAACCTGCCTCAGGGAGCCACAAACCATCTGACGCAGCCCGTTACCGAGGCGGAGGCCGCTACGGGCATTCGCATCTCGATCGATATGAGCCACGTCTCCAACCAGAATAACGTGCTGTGCGTGGAAACCCACACGATCAGCGTCCCTGAAGAGAACGAGTTCAACGTGGAAGTGCAGTTCGTGTACACTTCGACCGATCTGGTGGTGGATGGAACCAAGACCGCTTCGGATGTCGGTTATGATGACCCCACATGGCACGAGACCAACGCCAACGTTTTCGATAAGAAC